TAAGTATTGTTAAAGAAAGCTAAGACCAATTGTTTATACATAAGCAATTGCAATTTTTTTAATAAGAACTAGAGAGAGGGGGAAAAAGAAGCAAGCTGCAGCTACCTTAATTAGGTTTTTAATTAAAGGCAGTTCACATTCTCGATTCATTTCATTAAAAACAAAAAAAAAAACTTATTTGTATATTTTTTAAGTATGTATACTAATCTCCGTTAGATCAATGTGCTCAAAATGTTCCCTAATTTATTTAAGTGGTCTCATCTTACATATATCCTATATTAATAAATATATTAATTTTTCAAATGTCCTTTTGTCGTTTTAGATTGTGTTCAAAATCAATTATTGCTTCTATAAGTACTTACATATTTTCAAATTTATTTAATTAAGCATTTTTATTAACTCCATTCCAATGAAACAAAACTTTAATTTTTCAAAATCTTCAAACGCATTTCCGTTTTCAATTAAAGTGAACTTTTATTTTTGCACCAAATTTTACGTCATGTAATTCTCCTATTTTGAGCTGTCGTCCAGTTTAATCTTAACTGCTTTTCAAATTCAAACAGTGACAAAATTGATACTTCAATTATTAAACACTAAAAAATTATAGATTTTTTAAATTATAAATTGAGTTTTATTGTAATTCCATTTCTTTTGCCATGTTAAATTTTCGAATATCTTGCAATTACAGATTATTTAGCTTGGAGTTTTGAAATGCACTACAATATAGAATTACATTCCAAATCTATAAATTTTCAAAAATACGAGTACCTCTTTTTTTTCGAAAATACTATAAATTTTCGAAAACAATCCAACTTTTCCAAAAAAGGTTATTTTCGAATATAATTATAGAATATTTATGAATCTAAGTCGAAAAATTTATAATGCGGTCGGTTATATTTTATGGACGTGTCAAATTTTTGTGGATCTTAATTGTAATCTCTTATGAAACATTCTTTAACGCTCTACAATATCCTTTAACTTAAACTTTAACTTACTTTTAAAGTTTGTTGATTTTAGAATTAAGTATTGCAGTTTTATATACCAAGTATTCACTTAATCTTTCAAATATTCTTATCCAATTTAATTTTTCTTTTAAGAATATACAAAATATTCTTTATTTAACGATCTTAAAAGGTCGTTAAATAAATATTATAAGAAGTTAAAATAAACTATTACCAAATTATGATTTTTCCTTTTTGTATATAAATTTTTTTTTTGGGTAATATTTTTAAGTATAAATGGCCTTCCGGCCAAAATAAAAATGTGGAAAAAAAGGCTTTCTTTTATTTTTTGTTTTTTACAAAAAAAAAAACTTTCTTGCAAATTTTTCTTAATCCAAGATATTTATTTTATTGTTGTTGTAAAACAAAAAAAAAAAAAAAACTAAAAGTTAAGAAATTAAACCTGTGCCCCCATAATCATAAAAATGTTGTTATGACGAAATTATAGATTATTCTCTTAATTTTATTAAATACAAAATCAAGTTGTCAGTGTTGCAAAACCTTTTTTTTTTTCATTATTATTCTGTACACGCGTATAAACATTAACATTTTCAAACTATACAAAATTTATTTCGTATATTGTGTGCATAAAATAATCCTTAAATTCTCACCCTTACACATCAAACATAATTTTTTTTTTTTAAATGTTCTAACAAATTTTTTATTTAAACTATTAGTTTTACTTAGTACTAGATTTTTTATTTTGCCAAATATGTATATATGTATTTGATTTGTACGTATCTCAAAGTAAAAAAATTCTAAAACAAATCATTATTATCAAAGCATATTTATAGGAGGAAAATAATTAAAAGGCTTACATTTTTTTTAAATATTTTCCAGCATAGTTATAGTTTTTCATAAAAATTTTTGATTATTATCATTAATATTCAAAGTCACAGCCCTAAAAAGTAGATATACTTACTCACTAATATTGAATCCTTAAAAAATGACTGAAATATAGTTTTTATTTTCACCACCCTGAATGTTTTATATGCCCTGTTTATTAATATTTTTTTCCATATCTACTCTATTTTTTTTTTATAAAAAAATTAGTTTAATATCAATTAGATTTAAAAAAAATTTTTTATAAAATTTTTAAATTCTTAAATCGTTCATTTATAATTCATTACTAGAGATGAGTTAAGCGTTTACTATTTTTGTTAACTGAGCAGTAAACTGAATTGCTGTTCAAATTGCACCAATTTAATTTTTTTAATAAATTCTTTATTAGATGTTTTGTTTTTTAATTAAAAAAATTACAAATAATTCTTTAACTAATATACCTGTTTTATTACCTATATATAGTAAAGCACTTTCCGACTGATATTTTATTGTTATTCTAGTAAAATAAAATTGTGATATCTGTTTTTCTCTTTTCAAACTACAATAAAAATGTAAAAAATTTTAAAAATAATTTTATTAAAATTTTTATTTATATTTTTTTTTTTTTTTTTTTCAAAAATGGCACATCAATTTTGTTGGTTGTCTTTTTATGTATAACGCAAATGAGTAGAAAATTTCTATTTTGCAATAAATTGGCAGTACGATTACAGTGTATGATGCGATTATGTTAATAACGAAATTCAACAATAATTACAACAATATACTGATCCTTATGAAATATTATATATTGTTGAATAGTGCACGTTATAACAAATAGAGAGCCGCATGTATATATATAGTTCGTGATCAATTGGTTGCTTATTGCTGAAAATATCTAGTACTCGTATGGTGTGTAACTTATTATAAAAACTGGCAATAAATATAAGTTGCACGTGCTATTTAAGCGTTTCGTTTTTGTTTTAAATGAAAATTATTTTTTTTTAATTTTGTATCTTTTTTTTTTTAAAATGTTTATTTAGATGTTTTCCAAATAAGAAAAAATTAAAACAAAATCCCGGAATTATATGTGCAAAATTTTGCCTCCCTTTTTAGATTTCTTTATATATTTAAATGTTTTTTCTAAATTTAAAAAAAAAATAAAGAAAACTTATTTTGGTTCAAGTTCAATAATCGAAAACCAAAAATTTGTTTGTATTTTTAATTTTTTTCTTTTTGTTTTTGGTGTTTATTTATTTATTTTTTTTTTTTACCTACATATGTATGTATATGTATGTGTATATAATTTAAATTATAATTTTAATTTAAATTGCATTTATTTGTGAGTAATTTTTTTTTATTTTTGTTTTATATACAGTGGAATTCGTTTGAAACAACTAAATAGAATTTTATTCTAATGTATGTACATAGTTATGAATTTAAGGATGAATTTTATATATTAGGATATAGAATATAAAATTTTGAGAAAATTTGGTTTAAATTTGTGAGTTAGCCATACCAGAAGGATGCCAGGGTTTAAGGATGCTAGAATTGGTAAATTCTTAAACGTCAAATTTTACAAAATCTGAGTTGTCTGAGTTTACGAATACTCTACTGCGTTTTTACTTTCAGTTAAAGCTTAAATTCTTAAACGTAGTAATTCAGTAAATAAATTTGATGTATTGAGTGACTATCCTTACGTTAAAAATAATATAAAAAATATTTTTTTTGTTAATTTTTAATATGTAAGTATAAAATTATTTTAAATCTAAAAAAAAAATTTTTTTTTTGTTTTGACGTTTACGGATGATCAAAATTCAAAGTCAATTACGGGTAAAAAGTTTACTACATTTCTGTCCGTAAAAGTTTTATACGTCAGACAGTTTGCAGACAGAAAACAAAATTTTGACGTTAAAGAATTTGCGGAATGTTCAATTAATTTATTCAATAGAGTAAATAATTTAAAACAAACAATTTTTTAAACTATACAATAAAATTAGCAATTTTAATATAGTGACAGTGCCAATAAGGAATAGAACACGTGAATGTAATTTCAAAATATTAAAAATTAATTTAATTTTCAAAATTAATTAAATATACAATTCGGTTTTTTAAAAGAATAAATGTATACGGGGTACAGGTTTACTATTTATAATAATTAATATTTAATATTGTAGTAGAATACATATTTTGAATAGTTTGGTTTTACATTAAAACTGTATTAAATTTGAAATAAAAATTTATTATAAATATAATAATTTTTTTCATTTTATATGTATATGTGATTTAAAATACTTTATAGTTTTAAATTAAAATTTTATCATTCAACCCAATTACTTTCTATAATATTTCCAAATTTTAAAAATGATTAAGTATATATTTTTTTTTCAAAAATTACAAGACCGCATATCGAATATTGATTTTTAAATTCTTAAAATATGATTTTTTAATTTATTTTTGCATTTATTTTTCTAATTCTTACATACATTCGTTAGGTAGCATATTTACATTCAAAGTAACTTAAAAATTACGCCAATATATAAAATTATTAAATTTTTATTACAAAACGATCAGAGTTCTTAGTTATTCAAAGTTAAAATTAAGGAAAAAATCTGATGATGAGTTTAAGATGGTAATTGTCGAAATTTTTGATTTTATCAACATCTTATTTTTTATATTATAAATTTTTAGTATCCGATATTTTTTATTATTAAAATGGTGTGCTAGTATGCCAATGTCTGTGAATTGAATAAAATTAACCAAGATTCAACGTGAAAAGATTTTATGTTATTCGTTTAATTTTATTATAGGTTAATCATAATACAATTTATTTTTATCTATATTTTATTTATTAAATATAATATTTAAAAAACAAAATCAAGATAATCGAATTTAGTGTGTAGAGGTATTCAAAATTTAATTGTATATAGAATTTTTCCTGCTTTCTACAAACGAATTTTACTGTGCATTTATTGTTTTTTTTTTTTTTTTGTTTTTTTCTTTCTTTAAAATACCAGAAACAAAAATAGTTAAAACAATTATACTGATTTACAAACAAAAACAAAAACAAACCGAACAAAAAAAAAAAAAATAACAAAAATTTATAGAAAAAATAATTTGTTTATTTTTTTTTTTTCTATACTTAATTATTTCTTTTTTTTTTATACATGGGTAAAAAAGAAATTCCTTGTAAAACAGAAACAACTAATTAGGAGATCACACACTCTTAATTTGCTTTAGTAGAGTTATATAGGACTCACTTTTAGTATAAATATTTTTGCCAACTGTGATCACATAAATGTAAAAATGCAGCGACGTGACGGCAGAGATTCGCGCGAAGGAAGAGATAGACACTCTAGGTAAGCTAAAAATAAAAAAAAAAAAACAAATAAAAAGTCAAAACAAAAACAAAATTCTATTCAAACATGAAGATCTTTTTGTTTTATGTTTTTTTTCTTTCCACTGTTTCTTTAATTTTTTTTTTCTGTTTGACGACGAAAAAATACTTAAGATTTGCAATTGAATTAAAAAAAACCCGATTTTTCGTTTTTTTTATTCAACAAAAAACCAAAAATACCCGAAGAAATCAAAATCATTTTATTGTTTCCAATATTTTGAGTGAAAATTTTGTCTTTTTTTTTTTTTTTTTGTATTTTAAGAAAATTCAACTTTTTTTTTCTTCCTTCTTGATTTAATTTTGTTCATTACTCTTGTATTGATTTTAGAAAAATATTTTATTTGGTTATTCTTTTGTTCTTGTTTTTTTTTTTATCGATTTATCTTCGATATTAAATTTAAATTTAAAATTTTCTAAAATAGTGTAAAATTAATTCAAATTTTCGGAATTAATTAAAATTTTTATTTATACATATAAGAGGTAAATATATACAATATAATTTTGTTGTTGTTAGCTAAATATGATAAGATTTAAATAAAATTCTATAAATTAAAAAATTAAAATTTAAAATTTCAATAGACCAAACAACATTGTGAAAAGGGTGCAATAAATAAATTAATGTGAAGTTTCTATATATGTATAATACATTCTATATGAAAACGCTAATTAAAATCTTTCATTTTTACAAATTACATATGAGGCTTTCAAAAAAAATATGAAAAAAAATAAATAAATTAAATAAAAATTGTCCTTACGTGTTAGTTGGTGTAATCAAATAACTTACACTTGCATTTTTCACATCTTGTTAAAAATTAATCCATTTCATTTCACTAATATTATACTATATAGTATTTGGCACAGATTGGAAAGGCTATATTCAATAAAATTGTTTTTAAGCACGACAATTCAAAAAGAAATTTTTGTTAAATGCAATTCAAAAATCTATGCAAGTACTAGAGGTGGCACGGGGAAAAAAATGGTTTAATTGGTGTTCTACTTTAAAATTCATTCTGTTAATTTATTCTTTTTTCTATGAAATTGACTACAAGTACTTTAAGTATGTATATATGAAAATATATTTAAAATTTTTGTTATATTAATAAACAAGTAATTGTTTTGTTCTTATTGTTATACTGTTAGATCGAATTCCTTTGACAATATTTTATAGATAAAACGACTATAATTTGAAGATTGGACACAATTTGTACTCCTTGAGTGTGTTTTGTGTGCTTAAATCACAATATTAATATGTATAAAAGTCATTTAGATTTAATTTGCATGTACTTATATATTTTGAAACAAAAAACTTTAAAGACGAAATCCACAGTATATATACCCGCATAAAATGTTTCAAACTCTTGAACTAAATGACATAAAGCTTTCAATGTGAAAATTGCACTCTTATTTCGAGATTATACTAAATGGATATATGTATTATGTTAAAGAAATGTCGAATTTAAAATTAAGTAGGTAAATTAAGCAATCTGCACTTTTAACTGAAAACACATTTAAAAACGTCAAAACCCCTATAAATATTAAAACATATAGCACAATAGTTATAAAAATTCTTGTCAATTTATTTATACATACGCACAGCTTTAATCGTAATTGTGTTTTAATGCTTTCACAATAAATAAAATATTTATAACGTACCATATATTTCAGTAGGTGTTAGGCACTCAATGTCAAAATGCTCCTATAAATGTCGCCTTAAATGCGTTGATAATTATACTTTTGAAAGTACTTGAATGTAAAATAAATTTTTTTATGTTGTAACAGTATTTGCTGGTTCGACTAAAAGACTTTTTATAAAATTTACACTAATATATTTTTGAGAAATAACTATCTTTCAAATTTAATTAAATTTAATAAAATATTTATATAATGGAAAAAATCATAATTCCCAATGGAAGAGTGAAAAAAAAAATATTTAACATGGTCTACAATCGCCTACTTACCCTACTACGCTATAAAAATAGGGCAAGTCTTGTGTAATATAAAAATTAAGTCGATTAAAATCATAAAATAGCATTTACCTCAAACAAATTATAATTCTAAATCTTGTTTGAAGTTTAATAAATAAAAATAGCATCTTATATCCAAATACATATCTATACATAATTTTCTTATTACGATAAAATTTTGCATAAATTTCGGATGAACTTTGAAGCAACTATTTTCATAAGTTTTCCTTGCATAAGGATTGAATAAGGGTACCTTTTTTGATAAAAGAACGATTGATTACTTTTATATTTTTGCTTTTATAACAAGTAAGGCAGAGCTTTTCTGCTGAGGTAATAGCGTAATACAGACGTTTTGTAAATTATGAGAGACAAGAGCTCAAGAGTGCAAAAAAAAGAAGTTGCTTCATTATTCGATGTACAAACTTTTGCTTATGAACAACTTTCAAGACTTGGTAAGTGATGAGGGACTCATTAATATTTGGTGCAAGAAAAATAACTTGCTTATAGTACGACCTTTTTGTGAACAAAATTTCATTTTTCTTGTTTGAAAGCTATAGAAGTTTTGTAAATTGACGAACGGTCCGTTCCGACTGAAATTATAAAAGTTATAGGCACTTTTTTTTTTCTAATTTTCGTTTTTGAAAAATGTGTCAAAAATTTTGTGCATTTTTTCTTAGTTTTTTCCATTCTTAGTACCATTTTTGCTGATATGATATTCTGCATAGTGTCCTTTATAAGATTCAAGAAAAAAATAAGATTTCATAATGTTATACTTTTCGGAAAACAATCAAATTACTTCAATAACAAAAATTCATAATATGTTAAAAATACCATACAGTATAACATTCAAAATGGTAAGAAAATAACACAGTTCCATATAATTGAAATACTAATTTATGGTCTTCTATTTAACCTTCAGATGACCTTGAAATTTTTACGTATTTCTAAATTGTTTTTTCAATTTATTCTAAAAGTTTCAATTTTTTGTTTTTAAATAATTAAGTTTTATTTTTTAAGATCCTTTTCGTCCTTTAAGCGTGTTCATCGTAATAAATGCTGCTGATCAAAATTTATTTGAAGAATTATTGCTTATTGAAATGTGAGTTCCAACTTTTTCAATCTAATCACTATAATTTTCGAAATTTAAACTCAAAATTTCAAATTATTTACAAAATAACACATAAACATGCATTAATTACGTTTAAAGAAAACCTTTAAACTAGGAACTAAAAAATTTACTATTAAAAATTAATTATTTTTATTAGCTTCTGGCGGAATATTTCTCTTTTTTGTGACATTATTTTCTACTTTTCTCTTTTAGACATTACACGAACCTTTTGTTTCGTGTTTGTTATGTTTTATTTTAGTAGCATATTGCAGTAAAAAATGTTAAAGACATTTATTGAATTGCACACACTTCATTCAATTTGTTATACTATATTTATATTTTATATATTTGTTATACTTTATATGTATTTTATATATATGTATATATACATTCATGTATGTATGTATACGTACATTTAAGATATTTTTATGTGGGCAAATTCAAATAATAACAATACTCGTATAGTTCTCATATATTTGTGTGTGCATATGTTGAAATGATAGGAAAAATATTTATATAGTTTATATATTAAGTTATGTACTTATTTACTTCTACAATACAATTTATATATATACAACTGAACATGTGCATATCAACATAATATGTGTATGCATGCATGTTGTATATTGAGCAACAGTTGACAGAAAAATTGCGATATTTATCATTATCTTCCTCCTACTATAACATTGAAAGTTAAATTCAGTATATAAAGCGATTTAGTTTTTTTTTTATTATTTTTATTTTACTTTTCTAAATAGAATTTGTTGCCTTGTAACCTCTTTTTCTTTATTTAAGTATATGCAATTATTATACCTTAAAATTTTACTAAATTTTTTTTGTTATAAGAATATATACTGAAATTGAGAATTCGTTTTATATATTTATTTGCGAAATATGAGCATATGAGCATTTTTAAAAATATTTGTTTTAATGAAGAACCCAATATTGTTAGAGTTTAATAATTAACCTCTGAAACGTTGACATATATAAAATAAATTCATAAAATAATCATTTTCAAATTTATAACAAATTATAATTATTAGTGTACATGATGAGGGCTCTCTGTTTTAAGCGAAATACACCTGATACAAGTGATACACCGAAATACATGGTAAACTCTATGTCAACCTGAAAAAGCATCTGAACTTAAATAATAAAATTTAAACTTTTAATTTTAGGGTGTGCAACAATAATTTAATAATTTGAGACAAGGAACTGTTCATATATTACATGACCATACATTTGACATTATTTAAGACCCCCTTTTATATGTTCAGTATAAATTGAATTAAACGTAATCGGAAGAAGAATTTTAGTTAACTAAAACTATAAAATTTAAGAACCGTAATCCAAATTAATTAATTAAAAAGCTCACCAAAATATTTTTTGGTCTACAAAATCGTTCTTGTTTTCTCTACACGTACATATAAAATATTTTTAATTTTTAACTGGAATAAGTGTATTAAAGTATTATTTACATTAAGTATATATGTATATAAGTTAAATCTATATTTCAAGAAACGAGGTAATTCAAATATGCTACTAAAAATAGTTATTTAATTATTCAGAGAAATAAAATCAATAATTTTCATTTGAAAAAATTCTCTTATTACCGCATGTAATTTTACATAAATTTAGGATGAATTTTAAAGTAATAATTTTCATAAAAGTTATTCATAAATATTAAATAAAGTATAAATATTTTTGATATTTAGATCTAATAAAATAATATTTAGATTAAAGAATTTAGATCTAATAAAATGAAAATCTATTAAAATATTTTGTGGAAAATTATTCAAGAAAAATTACTTTCTTACTAATTAGAGAGTTTTTCTTACGGTAGGCTAGTCACCTACCTAGTTAACTCTATGACGCTATGAAACTAGTGCGTGATATCATGCACTAGCCCTATGCTCCTTCTAGGAGTGAATAAAGGAAAAAAAAAGAGAGTTTTTCTAAAATACTTTTGGAAATATTCTAAAAATGAAGTTCTTTTCGAGTTCGTCAAAAAATGTTCCCTAAAATGGAGTTCTAGCACTTTAAATTTAATTATTAATTTTCTAATTTTAGAATTCAAGAATTTTAGAATTATCTGCATTTAATATAAAAAAAATTTATCTTAAATTAAATTAGAAAAAAAAATACGTGAAGCAACAGTTCTGGAGAAATGCAAGAAATCACTATCCTTCTTTTGTTTTTTTTAATTATATTACAAATTATATTAAAACGTGATTGAAATGACTATGTACTTAATCCTCTTATAAATGAATTTTCTTACTTATAATCTAAATTTCATTTCAATAATTACATTATACAACTTAATCGTCTAAATTTTAAGATGAGATTTTAAAATTCTTAAATTTATGTAAAATTAAGATTTATAGAAAGTTTTAATTGCATAAATTATTTCCTAACTAAATTCCGAAAATTATTCGATTAACTTCATTCAAATCCCGAAAATGTTCATAACTATACTGTTAAGTATTTTAAAAAACAACACACTGTTAACTATTTTAAAAATGTGCCAGATTGTTGGCTAGTATAACTATATGCTTTTTTTTCACCTACATTTATTAAATGAATAAAAGTAGAATATGATAAAAATAAATACAATTATTTTAATGCAAAAACCAAGATATACAATTATGTAGCTTAGATGGCTGGCTTCTATTTTTTAATTAAATATTTTTCCTATATTATTCAGATTATTTTTTCAGGCTTTATTCATAAAATCACGTTTCACTTGTGTGTATGTCATATTTTCTTTAATATTTGAGATTATTCTTTTAACAAAACTGTTATATTGTATACATTTAAACGTTTTGTGCAAAATGAACTGATTTTTTACATTGAAATTATTTAAGTCCAAATATAACTGAAATTAATATTTAATAAACTTATGAATTTAGTTTAATTTGATTTTATACTTACGAATTTTTATGCCAATAATGTTACAATAATTTTGTATAACGTTTACTTTCATTACTTTTTGAAACATTGACTCTCTAAAAATTTGTCTGGCTTATTTTTTTTTTTCTGAAAACCTTAATGAAATTTGACTACAACTGAAATTTTTATTTTCCGCTATGATTTCAAATGATATCTTGTGGAACTTCCGGATATATTCCGATATTTCCGTTTGTGAAAGTGAATTAAAAAGGCTAAATCACATCATGTGAGAGGTCAATTGACTAATTCGTTTTTCGAAATTATTCAAAAGTCTACTACGTGTATGTATATTTCAAGTCTATTTAATTTATTTTGTTATTATTATTTCAATGGTTACTATAAAAAATTGTGAATACAAAAACAAAATTACTTTAATATTGCTTTTTCGGAAAATTATATTAAATATCTTTTATAAAAGATTTACTTAATTAAATCTTCTGTAATAATCAAAAAGATTTTCGAACAGAAATAGCTTTTATGTTTAAATTTTATTGTATTTAAATAATCTACCTAAAATATTTTATGAAACACAATATTTGCGTTCAATTTAACATTTTCAAACTACTCATGAATGTCCAAAAGAGAGCACAACTACACTGCCACAAACAAATGCACACCGGCAACCTATGCAGAATTCCTTCTGTAAAATTTAAATAGAATATTTGATTTACAGTGAATAGAGTACGTGTTTATAATTATACGTGATTAAACATTATAATATTTGAAATGCTTATTGAATTGAGCTTTGAATAATAAAAAATTGTAAAAAAAGGAGGGTTATGGCAAAAAAGTAAAAGTTTTACTCATATATAACGAAAAACTCATATATATACAGTTCCAATTTACAAAAATTTTCATATAAACTCATGGGTAGTTTGAACATGTAAATGGAACGCAAATGATATAAGCACACACAAAGGTGTGACATTTATAAAATTTTTGAAGGAATGTTTCATTAAATATTGTAAAATTAAAAAAAAAAGAGAAAGATAACTGTAATTCTCTTCTGTTTTGTAATGTCGAATTTAAGATTTATACTAAATTAATATGTTAATTATTTAACGGTGTTCACTGTTAGCCAGAATTTAATTCAGGAACATGTCTAACATTATAACTCTGTTCAAATAAGTAATTTGGCTTACAAAACAAGTAGTTCTCGTATAAATTATGCTTGGTAAAATTTATTTACATACATTTTTCTAGCGAATAAGTAAACATGTCGAACTTTTCGTATTACTTTAACTTAAAAAATAAAGTAGTTTTCGATCAATTTACTATTTTCTATTTATATCAATTTTAATCTTTGTTTTTCTTTTTGGTTTGGTACTCACTTATAATTTAAAAATTAAGAATATTTTTTATATTTATAAAGCAGCTTTATTTTATTATAAAATAAAATTATGTTCATTTTATTTTTTACTCAAATTTTAACATTTTTATTTTAGTTTTGTACTCACATTAACAAACATAAATAATTAACACTGAAATACACAAGTAAAGTTCACTTGTTTCTTATATGTCTTATGGTAGGGCTTTTAAACATTTTTCAAAGTTTCTGGTTAAATTTGGAAAAATATTGGTAATGGTTTTCAAAAAATACGGTATTTTTGATTTAAATAAATTATATCTCACATTTTCTTATTTCAGAGCAGATTTAGATTTGCTTTAAAACACGAATCCTTTTTCATTATTTCTGATAAAAAATTTTTTAAAACAAAATATTGCTAAATCTTAAATATTTAAGACGGCATTTTCTTTTTTACAATATTAACCACTCTGTTTGTAATGCTAAGAAATACCCGTCAGAGATATAAGAATGTATATGTGCATGTACATTTATATTCTTGTTTAGGGTCGAATTCTGATGTCAAATTTCAAAATTTATCTCAAATTAATTACGTGTTAAGGATGAAAATTAATGTTATCCAAAATATTGATAGAGTGTGTAAAATAAGGCGTACATTTATAAATATACATTATATATTATAATATATAAACATGATACATATACAATCAACCTTATTAAACCAGACAAGCCGTGCATAAAAAAATGTGAGGTAACAGAGTTGCTACTCTACCAGACGCACGTTTTATTTACGCATTTTTTAAAAATTTCACATTTATTTTCACATTTGATATTTTGCTGTCGACATAGATCTAAAAAAAGCTCTAAATCGAAGAAACGGAGCTTTACATCTTGTAAATATAATTAGATATAATTGTAATAGCAATATTAATTATCAAAATTAACGAAATTACTTAAATTCTTTCATGTTTCATTTAAAATTTTCAATAAATCTAAAAAAACATGTAGGTCGATTAAAACAAATTAAAGTAATTGCTAAATCCATAGGGTTCAATTTATCATTTATGCTCCTATATTTCAAGTTCATTCACGTCTTTCAAAAACCAAAATTATTTAAAAGACGTCTGTCTCTTTCTAATTTATTCTTTGTCGATTATACTTTTGTCTGTCACTGTAGTTTATTTAAAAGCGATTTTCAAACTTTTTGACATTTGAAAATTTCGAGTTTCGCTTCATCTGACGCGACGTGACAAAAAAGTGACAGTCACAAATTTGATGCTTCTAATAAATTAAGGCTCAATATGTTTATTATATAAAAAAATAAATAAAAAAATAGCATTGAAAAAAAAATTTGAAAATCATTTTTCGATGAAAAGTTTTTTGTCAAAATATTTTTATTTTTTATTCTAAATTCAAAATTAATCAAACAAATATAAATTATAAAATAATTTTTTAGTATTGTTCACTTTTATTTATTTTTTTATTTTCTCTTAGTAGTGGAGTTCAACCAAGTAGTTCATCAGTTACTGCTGGAGGTGGAGGAGGAGGAGGAAATTCTAGTGCAGTTAGAGTTACCGGAATAACAAGCAATATGTATTCTGGACGTCATTCTGTAAGCTCCTCTTCCGGAGTTCTTATGGTTGGACCAAATTTTCGTGTTGGAAAGAAAATTGGCTGTGGTAACTTTGGAGAATTGCGCTTAGGTGAGTTTTATTAATTTTTTTCATATTAATTTAAGAATTTTTTTTTGATTAAATTAAATATTATAATTTTTCGATATATTTTTTCTTATCTTCATGTGTATACATTTGTATGTTTATAATAGGTGTATGTACATAATTATGTATAACAAATGAAAGATTATGCTGATTTTGATAATTTCTGAATATGTTAGACACTTGGTTAATATAGAGATGGATCTATTCTTTTCATCTCTCATGCTAGAAAGCATTGTACAAAGTATTCTCTCAAGACCTATCCTTCTGACAAATTCGAATATCTTCGGGGTATCAATTTCTTTCAATTTCCCATAGAGTTTCTTCTTCAATCTTCAATCACCGATAACTTATATCGAAATCTTTTCAATTTTCCACTAATTTTTATTTTTATGTTAATCCAATAAGGATTGCCATTTTTATTTTTTGTTAAAAGACAATAACTAGCTTTTACATATACATATACACTTTTGTACAATTTAATTTATATTTTAACAAAACTTCTGAGTGGAAACTAAATTAATAAAAACAAATTAGCCAAATTTGTCTGATTTTCCGTATTTTGAGTTCTAAACATACTATTTATTAAATATCCTTGAGTGCCCGATTTTTTCCCTTTATTGATTTTTCTGATAACAACGCCTAAAATATTTCGCGTCTAATTTTGTTTTAATTAAAAAAAAAAAGGTCTTAAGGTATTAAGTATCAGATTACATTTTCGGAGTCATGGTATTCAACTTTAAACGTTTAGATTTTTGAATTCTTGCCTATTAATAAAGCAGGTAACCCAATATTTTCTAACTTCATTTGGAAACGAATTTTTATCAATTGCAATAAAATTTTTCTATTATAAAAATTATCTTAGTAAAAATATTTCTAATTTAATAACTTTTGACTAAAATTTTTTTTTTGCATGAAATTTTCCATTTAAACAAAAGTATACATCGACTGTAACCATATAAAAATTATAGCCTATTGATCTAAAATAAAAATTTACACCTTTTTTTTATACTCATAGCAACTCTTCAATTTTGTTTTTTTTTTGATTTTTTTTTCGTTGGCTTATTAAAAGACAGATTAATAAGAGATAAGACATAAAAAGCTCAATGACTTCAAATTGAATGAAATGTCCGTAAACAATGTAGAAAATGTACAAATACATAATATATATATATATATGTATGTACATAATGTAGTAGAACATATTGGCAACCTCTTTATATTTATTTAAAGTGTAACAAATGCATAAATATCTTATGTACTACATAAGTATATTCATTGACATATACGCAAACATAAAAAATTTGTTTGTATGGAATACATACATACATACATTTATATATGTATAACTACAATACACAATTATTTTTTAATGTTTACTTAAAGAATTCTCTATATTATTGAAGGTAAATGATTTTTTCTACGTAAAATTTATTGAAACACTTCAATAAACAATTTTCCTATTTAATAATAATTAAAAATTGTGTGTATAATAAATAAAAAAATATACAAAAAAAAAATTTATAAATTTTTGTAATAAAATTTAGTCATCTGAAAAACTTTTTTCTTTTTCATTTTTTTCTTTTATAATGCTTAAAAATCCATTTGGATATTTGCATAATATTGACTTGAATTTAATTAACTTTTGGCGTATAGCTGTACAAAAATCTACTAAATGCCACTGAAAATCTGTTGAGTTTTAAATAACATTTACTGTCATCATGAAATTTATTAAAAGGAAAAATTGGTATGCAAAATCTTTTCAGATGGTTTTATTAAATTCTATTTGATTCACAAGAATAAATAACTTGAGGGTTTTCACAACTCTGCAGTTTTTTATAAAATTCTTAGAATTTTCTATTAATCTATTTGCAAATTTAAATATTTTCATTCGGATAATTCAAATAATAATAGAATGATAGTTATTGAATTTTTGAATAACCCCACTTTCTAAAAAAAACCATAAATTGTATGTAGTACCGAAGCAACATCGGCATATATTCTATTTTCATATTAATCAGTAAGGATCACTATTATCAGTATCAGAATTAATCAGTTAGAATCACTTTTACACAAAATATAAAAAAGAAACTATAATTGGAAATATAAAACTTGAACAGGAAGAATGAATATATATTGTATGGAAGCGTTACATTTACATGCGGAGCTCTGCTTTAAACTAAAACGCTCGAAATTCTCTTGGTAGATTATAGAATTAAGAAAAAACCTAAAATAAATTCGCATTAAAATAAATCAACACATTTCCAATTGAAATCATTTGTAAACAAGCATGGATCGTGTCAACTCTGTTATACTCGTACCTCTATGAAAAATATTTTCTAAGGATCATTACGTATATACAGTACATCTTTTTTACTGTGTATTTGCATATTATCTATTCACATTGTTCTCTTAATAGTTCATTGTTTATTGCCTATGTTATTTTCGTACTGGAAGTAAGTAAGTTGCTATTTTCATGTCTTTAATATCATTTTAGGGCCTTAAGGAGATCGTTACTTTGCAAGGCTTGAAAGTAGATAAAAAGTTTGTTCTGTATAAAAAGGTTTCTTGCCAAAATTTATTTGTTTACATTAAATTTTAGCTTTCTATGAAATTATATAAACAAACCCGCAAACGGACAAACAGAATGAATCTAATCAGCTTTCAATTTCTTTTAAATATTGTTGTAAATTTGCTGAACGATGTTTCTAGAAAATTGATTTAAATTGATTCCTCTTTGTAAATTTATAGTCTACGATGATTTTTGAAATAAAATTTGCACCTTTAAAGATTGTATATCGCATACATACATATGTATATCATATTCCTTTATCCTTGAAAAGCACGTGTGCAATTAAATAATTTTCTTTAATAATTTGAGAAACAATATTAGAAGATAAACTTATACAAAATGCTTATCCGCGTTTATTTAATCTAGTAATAAAATGTATGTATAAGTGTTCAAAATTGTTATTATTTTTCATTAAGCTAACCTATAGCTAGCATGACTAACTATAATTTTCATTGTTTTTCTTCCTTCTTTTTCTTTACTTTTCAATTTTTTCGAATAATTCTTTTTTAACTACAACAAATCTTTAGCGAAGGTTTTCCTTCTTCTATTTCTTTTTTTTTATTATTTTTTTCAATGATATAAGAGGATATATGTTCTATATGGTACATACATATTTATACATACACATTTATATCTTATGTACAATAAAATATTATAAAATGTTCGTATGTATGTTTTTTTTTTGTATCTTATATACTTGTACTTGTACATTTTTAGTATGAATAAATGACCTAAACAAATCAATAATCGATTTTAGGTAACATACCGAGCTTATATACGAGCTTTTTGTACATACAAGTTTATTATTCACATATCTATATTGCGATTTATAGATGTTTGTATATGAATATAAAATTTTAGTATATATATATTTATATCCATATCTCTTTTATATCTATACATGCATTTGTTGAAATTTTATAATATAAGTAAATATAATTCGTTATTTGGTGTTGAAAGAGTCATCATATTTTTTTTTTTTTGCTTATTATTTTATTATTATTTTACATGCGTGTATATGATGTATGTTTATAATATTTTCCAGCGGTATTATTAGAGATAATTAGGAACTAAAAGTAATTTATATAGTACCTTCAAAATTTTTAAATTAGACCACATAAAATTCTTATAAAACTGAACTTGTATTTACTTGTATATGAATAAATTTTTTTAAAAGTTCTTTTATTATACAAACATATTTATATGTATAAGTATGTACATACATAATTCACATATTGTATGAATGTATGAACATGAATGATATATTTGTGAATCGGGAGAAGGGTCAATCGAATTGAATGAGATACAATTAAAGAGGTCACAATTGTAATGCCAAAATTCTTCAATGAGTTCAAAAGGTTCAAAAGAATTGGATATTGATAAAATCATATGCAATAAATAAAAAAAAAAAAAGAAGAAAAAAAAATAGGAAAAGGCTTGCCAAATATTTAATTAATTATGTTTCATTAAAAAAAGCAAAGAAATTTTTTCTTTTACTTTTTTTTTTCTCTTAAAAATTGTTTACATTAGAGTTCGATGTTTTTTCTCATAAAATCTATTATAGGAAATAGATAATAAAAGTTTAAAAATTTTCAAGTTTACTGTTTTAAACTGTACATACATATGTATGTTTGTAGATAATAAAGAAGAAGAGAAATTGTATTTCAAAGAACTTTACAAAAAACAAAAAAAGAAAAAATCAATAAATTTTCGCTAAATTTGTTTTCTGATTTTTCGGAGAAGGGAACATTCGAGAAATTTCTTAATTTTTTTCGTAATATTAAAATAAATCCAAAAAGCAGATTAGATAATTGTTACTAGAGTTAAAAAAATCTTTGTTTGAAGAAATAGAATTAGAAGACTACCAACAGAATTTGTAAATAGCCGATCACATATATTTAGGTCCTATAACAGAAACCCATAATGAGTTTAAGATTAGAGATTAAGATTTTGCCGAAAGTTAATTCGAAAGTGTCTTGAAAATAAAATTTTCTTAATTTTGCATATGAGATATTTCAAAAGTTTAGAATTTTTTTACACGATTACGTAAATGATTCTAATATGTTATTATGTTTTACACTATTTGCATACATAAATATTTAAGAAACGTTTCGTATTTGTGAACATTAGCGTAAATTCTATTTTGATTAAGTTAAAATAATTTAATTTGAGATTCGCCCGATTCGCCTTTGTGGTGATTTCGAATAAATATTCTCTGCCTAAAATTTAACAATAAAGGCGTTAGAAATAGTATTTAGAGGTAACAGAAACCAAAACATCTTACTTACAGTAACCTTACTTTCCAAAAAAAAATCTATTGTGTACTTATAAAGTTATATAAAAGTTTCTGTTCAAAGCTTCCTTTGTCCTTCATAGCTTTAATCACCAAAAATGTCTAAAAAAAGTTTCTTGCCACAAACGAAAAAAAAATAGCAGAATAATTACACAATTTATGTTTGCATACCTTTAGGATGATGCAAAAAAAAAAAAAAAAAGAAATAAATAATATTGTCGGACTCATGTGTTAATTTCAATGTTGGAGTCAAGAAAAATAATTATATATTTTGATTTTGAGGAATTTTATTGCTACTTTTTTATTTTCATAGAAATTTTAAAATAAATTCCGAATTTAGAAAAATAAGGGAAATTTAAACTTTGTTAATTTCGAGAAGAGATTATATGGAAACTGCTTACCAGGACCCTATTTAAACATTAACATTTTGCAGTTTATTAGGATGAATGAGGTAAAAATAACTATAAACTAGGTTTCTAGGGAAACAGACTTCTCGAGAAGGTCTATTTGTGCATGAAATTCAAGTTTTTCTGCCTCTAATAGTGTAAAATTTTTATAAACAAATCTACGTTGACTGTTAGACGAATGGACCTAAGATTAATATGCATTTTGCGCACATGCATATTTGTGTTAAATTGCTACATGCTTCCCGATTGTTTGGAGTGAAATTGAAGTCATGAATCTTGTAGGTTGCGTCTGCAATTTACAGAATCCAACTATTAACTTTAAACATTCTAAAATTTTATATAAAAAAACTAAAATGAACATTATTATTTTATTCGTAATGCTAAAAAGGAATGAACACGTGCAATAATTTTTCAGAATTATAAAACGTGTTTTTTGTTTTTTTTTTTTTGTTACCAATAACGCAACAAGTTCATTAATATTGGTGCGAATTATTGATTTTCATTTATAAGAAACCTGTTAACTTTTGTATATATATGTGTATGTGTGTTTGTAATAGATACATGGATTATATATCCATAAAAATCTATAAATAAATAGTAAATAGGTAATATTTCAAGTTAATTATATCAAAATTGTATTAGCTAAAAAATATTCGACAATAACAGTACGTGACAAAAGCATTAGTAAACTATTTAAGTATATATAAATGAAAAATAGAAAGTGAAAGTTTTTGAGAATGTTTAATGATATTTTTTCTATATTTAGAATTTTAGAATTTCATACAAAATTTATATTTGCTTTAACTTATAACTATTTTTCTAATATGGTTTATAGCGCAAAGGTATTAAACTATGTATAGGGAGTTGGATAAAATGAGAAGAATGCAAAATTCTTTTATTGTATATTGAGGATTTTTTTATGATTTCAATTGCAAAATCTATAATACTGCTTGAAACTCATTAAAACTTATTAAAAGTTATCAGAAGCTATTCTTTTAGATATTAGAAAAATTGCTTCCATACGAGATGTTATTATTATTATGTACATGATGTACATACATAATATTTTATATAAAAATATTTTATTGCATACATTTAGGAGTAATCGCAAATAAGAGAAGCATTAAGGTGGATTTTCACTCAATATCCGGCTGTCTGAACAGAATTTTCAACCAATCAATTATTCTAGTAATATAATTCCGAAGTAACGATAGATCAGATACTTCGGTGATTAGAAACTCGCTTTTAATGTAGATTGAATTAGATAACGTAGTAATAAGCTCTTTATCAGAATTAAGTTTTGAGATCTATGTCCAAGCTGATTTTTTTTTGCTTTCAACTTTTGTTTTCTGATACTTATAGAAAAATATTTATTGCTTCCGTTTGGAAATTTTCCGAAAATTGAAATCATGAGGGAAAGAAAATTTTAGCGTAAAGGAATTAATCTTTTACTAATGCCAAAAAGCTGTTAAACGAACTCAAGATAATATTTAATTTCTATAATAATGTCTAGAGGAATTATATATGTTCCACGTTTTTTTCAGGATTTAAATATAATTAGCAATTCTGTAGAATTTTTAATTTGTGGTAAACACAAACTCACTTTTTTATAATATTCTTGGAAATATGACAAAAAACGTAATTTAAATAATGTATACAAAACATGTGTACACGTATATATGTATGTACAAATTTATTAATTTGTATGAAAATAATTCAAATTAATTTTAATTTCAATAAATTCAATAAGATTGTTTTATACACTGAAAACGTGGGAATAAAATCAATTTTGTTTTTGTATAATACACAAGAATGTTAAATGTGCAACTGAAGCTCGTGTATAAAAATTACTAATTTATTTTTGAAATGAACGTTGATATTCTCATAGCTTGACAGGTAACCGCATTCCTATAGATTTTTTGAGGAAATTCCATAAAAATTAAAAGAATTCTAAATATAGATAATAATTTTGATTTTGAAGCAAAAATTTTGGAGTTTGCAAGAAATGCTTTAAATTGACTTTCATTTTTTTAAAATTGAAAATAAAACATTATTTTAGTAGCATGAATTTTTAATTTGTTGTAAAACCTGCTTAGTTTTCCACTTTATAATAAGGTTTATAAACCACTATTGATCGTTTATTAATTTTAATTTCTATTCTTCCGATTTGCTTCACACAAAAAAATTTCCTTTTTTTCCTCGTATAATTGAAAAACTTAATTTTTTATGATCGATGACCAAATTCATGAAAATTCCCATAATTAAAAAAATATTTTCTGGAGTAAATCAATTCATAAAAATTTATCTCTTCGTCTCCCATTTAATTGCAACATGAACAATTATTTTTGTACTACTTTAATATTTTATTTTGCTAATGTTTTCAAATTACTAAATATTACGAAATTTTCAAAGGTAAACAATGTTTTTTTTTTATTGAACCTTCATACCACTTAACTTTTATTTACTTAATATTCATGTTAATCTTATCGAATTTTGTCGTTTGTGCAAGTACATCGATATATCCTTCATACATTACGAGTATTTATCAGTGCAAAAGTAAATAATTTTATAGATAGTGTCAAATTTATTTTAATGTAATTTTATTACTTAATACATCGAAAAGTTGGGGAAAACTAGAATTTTATAAGACAGATTTCTAGACTTGTTATTTTTAATATAATGTAAGGAAATTTAGACACAAGTAAACTTTTAATGTGTGACATACAAGTAAAATGGGGAAATATTGTTGTGAACAACAGTTTTTCGAAATGAAAATTTATATTTTTTTTTAAACTAATTCAAATTTTGAAAAAGATCACATGAAAGTTGAAATGAGTGTTTCAATTTTAATTAAAAATTAAATAAATGATGAGTTTAGTTTTAATTGTAGAAAATATTTTGAATTTGTGCTCAATTTAACTAAAATCTAAATAAAAGCGCAGATAATGTTAAATTTTTCTGTAAACCAAAAAAGATTAGAGCGTATTCAATAAAAGTCATTCAGAAAACTTCTCTCGGACTATAGAAATTCTGTTTGTAAAATGTGAGGGGACAAAATATTTTGTAAAACGTATTTTTATTTAAAAATAAGAATAAGTTTTTGACGAGAATTGTAATGTTTATTTACCATTGATTGAAAAATATTGGTTTTATATCAAATTGTTCTGAATTCTGTTCAAAAAAATTTTGTAAAATTCTGTAAAATTATTTTTCTCAATTACAATTAAGTAAACAGATCTGAAGAATAAGAAAATTCTTAAGAAAAAATGATGCAAACTCAGTTATTTATTTTTGGAATTCCTAATACTTTTTTCAATATTTTTTAAAAAAAATGTAATAAGTACGAATTTCTCCTACAAAATTTTAATGTCAATTATTTTAAAATATTGATATACATTACATTTATAAATATAACAGAATGTTTTAAAAATTTGTATTAAATTTTTAATAGAATTGAAATCAAAATAACCAAATTAATCAATCAAAATTTAATAATTAGACTGTTATGCCAATGAACTTTCTATACTTGTACAAAATTAATTAAATGTCATTTTGAATTTGCGCTCAGTGTTTGTTTACTAATTCGTAAAATTATTTTGGCAAGCAAAAAAACCTTTAAATATATTTTGATTTTTATTAAAAATGACATTTAAGTTTGACAATTTACTAATGCTATGAAAAGAGTAAACTCTAACGAAAAAACATTTGTCTATCCTTTTTTTCCCCTATACTCTTTTGTTTTATATAAAATTTTACTTGTAATTTAATAAATTGATTGCATAAACAATTTTTAGATTTTTAAAAAATTAATTTTTTTTTCCATTTACAAATAAATATTTTTTTGAATTATTTTACTAATTATTTACAAAAATCTATTCCCTGTATACCACATAATTTTAAAATAATTAATTAATTAAAATTTTGTATTAAAAATTCTGATTCTAGAATTTGTTTTTATTCACCCACTTTCTATTTTAAATTTCTTCTAATTTTTACGTAATGTTTGTCCTCTAATATTATTTGCGTAACCAAGTTTGCGCGTTTGGAATCTTATTTTTTTTTTGCACTACATTTTGAAATGCCAAATTTCTATTTCACTTTTCATTATCATTTAAAAATAGATTACATTGTGATTTTTTGAATTATTTCTTTTTTTTCTTTTAATTATCCAATTGGTGTTTTAAATTAATAATTCAACAGTTTACGATTTTTAATACCATTTATTTGATATACTGATATTTATATACACCATATTTTCTGTTATTTTTTTTTTTTTTTGAAAAATTTCATTTATTAGAATCGAAAATTTCAGTTTCATCTATTATTTTCATTTTGTTTTGTTATTCTGTATAGGAATTAAATTAAAAATCTCATTTTTGTATCTTAGAATAAATTCTATTACTTATTTATGCTTTAATTATTATATACGCGAATGAATTATGCAAGACCCATTTTTCTTTTGAGTGATTCTGGCATTTCTGGTGGTGGTGGTCTTGGCATTCTAAAGAATACCTTAACAGCATCATAAATAAACCATTGTGCGGCAGTTAAAGTACCAATCATAATAATTCTTGGACCTAAACCTCCCCATAATCCTAAAAAAAAATTATTAAAGCATTAATGAATTATTTACAAAAAAATTATACAAATTTTTGTAAAGGTTATTTACCTGACCAGCCTAATGATTTAGCTACTTCAAACGCTGAAGCTCCTTTAGCTTGATTTAATTTTGATACAACTGTATCAGCTGGATGAGATACAACAGCACAAAATACACCAGCAATATAACCGGCAGCAAATGTAACGATCAATTGTTCACCTTTAGTACATTCAGCTCTTGGTTTTGGTACAACATATCTAAAATCAAGATGCAAAATATTAAATTTATTAGAAACAAATTTTCTCATATATAAATAAAAGTATACTAACTTGTAAAGAAGTTCCAAAGTTCTTTCAAAGCATGCAAACTTCATCATTGTATATGGGATTTGTCTCATCCACAATGGTACTAAACCTTTATAGAAAGCAGAAATACCTTCTTGTGATGTCATTTTTGGTAAAGCTTCACGCAATGTATTAGCAAAACCTGGTGTAGTTTGAATTTTTACTTTTGCGGCTTCCATTGGTGATAATGCGATATCAGCGAAAAATTCAGCTGAAGCAGATGCAGCCAAATATAATGAAGTTCTGTACAAATAGGAATTTTCTTCTCCAATTGCATCAGAATAAATTACTTTGAATACTTCATATAGACCAAATTTACATAAACCTTGCATTGAATAACCAATGAAAGTTGGTGCCCAACCCTTTGATAAACCTTTAACGCCATCTTCGGCTAAAGTTACTTTGAAACCATTTACAAGGGTTTTATATTTTCCTGGATCGACTTGTAATCTACATTTGACCAAGTCAAGTGGTACAACCATTGTATGTGTTGTACCACATGAAATAATACCACCAAGACCACATAAAGCAAAGTATTTCATGGAACCGAATTCGCATGAATCTATAAAAGTAATTACATATAAAATTATATAAATTATACATATTTTTTTTGAATTTTTTCTATTAAGTACATAACTGTTATATTTACATTAAACACATTAAATAAAACTTACCCCCTTCGGGTGTTGCAGCAGCTGCAATTACGCGAGTTTGTTGCTCATTATTACTTTGAATCTCTGTAGTATTCGATTCACAACGTGCTGTAGTGATAGGACTTTTGAATGGAGAATTTTGTGCGGCCTCAAATAGTGAACTTAATGACATTTTGTTCTCTTGAAATTGGAATAAAACAAATAAAAAAAAAACATAATACGTTATTTAATTTTAGTTCTTTTAAATTGGCATTTGTTCAAAATTTTTATATTTTTTTTTCAAACTTTCAAGGCGAATCATTACATAACCTATAAGAAAATTTTCTTTCATATGTCATTAACTCTGAAATTTTTTATTGCAAAGAAATCTTAATAACATGTGCAACTCCATAAAAGCTTCAAAAATTATTACTCAAAATTTACTTTATAATAAAAATTTACTATTAAAATCAATTTTTTATTATTTATAAACAATTTAAAGATGCCAATTATCTAGTATAATTATTATACAACTTACATATGAAAAATTTTATTTTTCAAAAAAAAATTTTTTTTTCAAATTTATTTCTATGGTGCTTATCTAATAAAGGTATATTGGGCACTACCTAATACAAAAATAATTCTAAATGCTCTGCTCTTTCAGTGAGAAGCTTTTTTTTATACGATGTATAACAATTTCGATTTTGTGTAGTTCGGAAATACTACTATTTTGTTTTATTTTTATTCTTATTAATTCGCGTGCATCAGAAAATCTTATATTCTTGCGCAATCTTATATGTTTGCGAAGGAAACCACACGTTTATTATAACAATGAATGTCAAAATGTTCACTAATTGTTAACAACATTAAGAACAATGAAAAGATATTTGAAATTGTTATATACTATATGAATTTATTTTCTTTGATTATGAATGTTTAAAGAAAGTCAACCAATATAAAATAATTCTTAACAAATTATTTCGGCTATGAAGATTAAATTCAATTCTAAATGGTAAATACAAAAATACTATCCATATATGTATATGTACATAGATAACCTATTTCAATACCAAAATCGGGTATTCGTTTCAATCTTGTAATCTTGTTATATTTTAGTTTTGATTACATTTTTTTTTTTAATTTAAATTCAGAACTATTTTTGATAACAGTATTGTATAAAATATTATTTAATAAAAATTGAGACACATTCATATATGATCGTGAATAAGTTTGTATAACAGTTTTAATAAAGGAAAAAAAAATAAAAAAATATTTAATTTGAATTTTATAATGAAATGTTACATGCGTATTTTTATGTATTTAAAAGCTTATAAAAAATGTTGTCACTTCACTTAAATTACAGTAGATAATTAAATGCAGTAGATAGTTAGATCTGTAAGCAAATCAACAAATATGAAATGTTTAAAATTGTTCCAATTCTGATCCAATTTGAAATATATGATCAGAAATCATTGGGAGCAGTGTGTTAATGCAATTTAATTTGCATAAGTAAAAACTAAACTACAAATTTTCATATTAAGGATTTATTTATCATATAAAAATTTACAGCTAAATATAACCTTATTGAATGGTCACCACACTGTTTATTTGTAAACATATTATTAAAAAAAAGAAAAGCTTTATTTTAGTCAATACTTACGAATCCACATTGCATCTGTTTTCTATCATCATTATTCATTCCTATAAGAGAAATGTGAATAATTCGAAAATCTAGTGTTACGACGCCGTCTCAAAAATGACGCACAAGTTTTATAGGTTAATGTTAAAAAAAAAAAAAATTTTTTTTTTTATTTTTTGCAAAATTCTTTGACACCGGCTTATAATTTATATTTGCAAAATATTATTATTATTTTTGTTATTAAATAAATAAAATCAACACAGCAAACGATAAACGTTTATTTTTAATCAAAAAAGGAATCATTTTACAATCGCGTTTGAAATTAACATGTGCCCATGTGCGTATTCTATAAGGTCATTGAAATTAATATAATATGTATATACATAATATGCATGTACATGTGTATGTAGATTTATGTGTGTAGAAATGTTTGTAATACAAACTATCAGTAAGCAATTAGTAACTTGATTTTTATTATTCTTTTTTTAGATATAGACTTTTAGGCTTCAATATATGTATGTACATATTATTTAAACATATTCATACATACATACATTTATACGCTTTCTCCAATATATTTGTATAATATAAATTTATTCTCTTATACGATTTGGTACAGAAAAGCATTATAATTTTCGGACTATTTCTGTTTTTATACAATATAAAAGTTTTGTTTAACATTTCGGTTGTTTAAAAATAACTTTTTTTTCTTTAATATGATTTTATGCGATTTTTTTTTTTTTTTTTTTTTTTTTTATTTTTTATTTATGTATTATATAAAAAAAAAAAGATGATTTAATCATTAAGTTTTGTAATCTTGTACTTATATAGCACCGTATTTTAACTATGTTATTTAATATGTATAACCATAGATTTAATTATTGTTTAATTATGAGGGGAAACATTTTCGATGAATTTCCTAGTGTTGCCAAGAAGTAACAGCAAGAAGCGCAACATCAACATAACATGAAATATACGATTTCTCAGCTATTTAAACAGAGATAAGCGCTTAAAACATTTTTTTTTTTGTGCATGAACAAAATTTCTCTATAGCTTGAAAATTGTTGTTTACAATAAAATGTAAGATAATGCTATAACGAGAAAAATATATTAACTCTAACACCTTAAAATTCGTTTTTCTCAAATATGCTAATTTTGAGTTATGTCAAACAATTATTGCATATATGTACATATATAAATTAAGATCCAAAATTTCTAAAATTCAATGAGATTATGCTGAACTTCTAAAATGTTTTAGCAAAAAAAAACTTATTTCAATTATTTGCTTTTATTTAGTAGCTTTCTACATAAATTATCATCAGCCTTATTGTACTAGAAGCATGTAAAATAAAAGCAAATGAGGTCACAAATTTGGTATTCTATGTCACAAAAAGCGTCCGAAATTACAAGCATCTTTAAAAACAGTTGCTTGTAAAATAAAAAATTAAAGGAAATGGAAAAAGTATAGTAAATATTGTAATAGTACTCTAGATATATCTACTAGATGCTGAACAAGACTGAATATTATCAGATCCCTATACTGAACTCCATTTTCTTAAAATTTCTTAGAAATATTTGTTTGTTTGTAAGTTTACATTAATCTTTTATACTTATTCTATTATATCGTTAACCATAGTATAAAAGATTACATAATAAATGCAAATTTAGAATTATAACAGAAATATGAAAAATAAATTTTGTTATTTTTTTTTTTTTTGCTTTACATCAATCACAAACAAATAAAATAAAACAATTTTTCACTAAGTATATATATATATGTATGCAAAAATGCATTATCAAACCTTGACCTAAATAAACAACATTTATTTGTACATAGTTACTTATGCCATTATTTTATTTCATTTTATATACACTTTCACTTTTAAACTTTGTTTGAATTCATTAGTATAGACAAACGAATTATACAAATTTATTTTCATTTTTGTTGTTTAGTGAATGGTCTCTGTTAAACAACAGAGGCTTTATTATATACCTAAGAACAGCAATATTATTCCAAAAATCAAATACCTAGAATAATAGGAAGTGCTTAAAGAAAATGATATTTGAATACTAGGGGATTTTCAATAATTCATGCACTGAAAATTCAAAAGTAATTCCTAAAAGCCTTTTCACACATATCTTTCGAAATATCTTCAGAAACTAAATATTTTAATTTTGAATTGTTATAACATAATACTTTTTAATATATAACATTTTTCTCTTATGCTTTTCTTCTTATTTATTTATAATATTTTTGCAGTAAATACAAAAAATCGCAAAAATTCATTTAAAAGGAACACTGTTATTTTCAAGTATACTCTTTTTTCAAATTTAGCAGTTTGAATTCATCGACCTAAGTTAGAACTGAGTTATCAAAAATCCTTCTACTATGTAATATAAAAATTCTTTCTTATAAAATTTTAAAATGTACATATATACACACCTATATTGATATTTAAATATATTTTTTTATTTTCAATTATCTATATAAGAATTAGAACATAGTGTGATTTGCCCAAATTTATAAGTACTTAATTAATTATTTGTCAAATTTCTTTAATAATCTAAAATTCGAAAATTAAATTTTCCGACTTTTTATATAACCACGATTCAATTTTCCGTTATATTGAATTATTATTTATACATAAAATAATAGATAATGCTATTAATTAATAATTATAATCCAATATTCATTGATATACGAGTATATTATGAGTAAAAAATCATTATAACAATAAAAATTTGATTGAAATATAAAAAGAAAATATAATATTTCTATAAATTAGACTCTACTTGCAGAATCATATAAGTATATCTTGTGTTCTTGTATATAAATTGCTAGAATAATACCAATTTTCATGCAACTTTTCTCATCATTATATTTTTTTATCTGTGCCGAAATTATTTTTATGCCATTCATTATAGCATTATAACATGTATTACCTAAGTCTACGTATAAATAATCTATTATATATTTGAAATGTATGTATATTATAGTATTGTATAGTTTATGATATCGCAATTTACATACATATACGTTACATATATTTCTATAATGACGTAATTAAATATATTGTTCGTGTATTCTTCAAAAGGAGCTGATGGGGTGCAACAAGTGCATTATATTTACGGGAATCTTTTTGGAACAAAAACAAAACAAATAATTCTATAATGTCAACAACAGCGCAAACCAGATTTTTGCCAAAATTTTCTTATTCCAATTACAAACTTATTTTTATTTTTTCTTGTTTTTTTTTTTTTTGCATTTGTTTGTGTTCAGAAGGAGAAAACCTTTTTTTTTTTACATTTAAAAAAAAAATTATGAATTTTATTTAATTTTTTTTTTTTTATTTTCATTTTATTATTTTTTATATTTTTTTTATTGTAAATTGATAGGTCGTCGATTATGTTATTTTAGTGGAGGGAATCGAGGTATGTAAAATATGTTTAGAGTGAATTGTAATTAATTAACAAAAAGGACTTCTTTCTGTTGTGAGATTATTAATTTCATTTAAAATTTGATCATGAATCTCAAATTATTTATGTGTCTCATCCCTATACACATTATTGCTTAAAAAATTTGGAAATGTACGAAAATCAGATTTTAAAATTATTTTTTCTGTTAACATTTTTCGTTTCCAATCGCCCCTATATAATTTTTTCATTTTATAAAATTTATTCATATAGGCACACATAACTTTTTTTTCTTAGTTTCTTAATACTTTTATTATTTTACTTAAAATATTGCATAAATGATGTCAGTTTAAGAATTATGTAACAATTTTCTAGACAATATTAAAGAATGTTTGAACTTTTTGTACTTGTTACCTTCTTGCAATATGGAATTGCATAGGTAAGAAAATGCTATACCAATATAAAAAACCTAAAATATCAACAAGTTTTTATAAATGCTGAAATTTATAAAAAGTGAACTTATTGTTTGTTGGATTAAAAAAAGTGTATTTTAATATTTTACAACCTTTGACTCAAAAAGAATACCTATATTATCAAAAATTAAAAAAAAAAAGTTATAGTCAAGTTATGGTACTTATGTTTATACAAAAATCAATTATTTTGAGAAATAATTTGATAACGATCAATTTAAAAATGAATATAATTTTCAAATGAATTGATTCGGCCTGAATTTGAGTTAATGTATGCCTTCGGAATTAGTTTTTTGAATAAACGAAATTCTGAGTTGAGAATGCATGTAAGCTTTCTTCATAGCCTCGAACAAAAATTTTACATATTCTTCTTATGCTTTATTTCTTAACTTCACTATAATCTTGGTTTATAGATTAGAATGTAAACTCATGTCTCATAATAAGAATTGAAAGTTTTTATTCAAACATTTTGTGTATTAAAAGTTCTAAATCTCTTAGGACAATTTCGGGGTACAGATTTATAAATTTATTTTTCCAAATCTATCATAAAATATAAATTATTTGTGTATGTTTAGTACGAGTACTTATTTAATTTTTATATATTTTTCAAATTTTCTTATCGATATTTTTGTTTTTATTGTTTTTTAGGAAAAAATCTTTATAACAATGAGCACGTAGCTATTAAAATGGAACCCATGAAATCTAAGGCTCCTCAACTGCATCTGGAATACAGGTTTTATAAGCTACTTGGCGCTCATGGTAAGGTTTCAGTTTTATAAAACAATTCTTATCAAATTCGAATTAATAATGAACAAAAAAAAATTCAATTTCACAAAAACAATTAATATCCTTACTCTTTGCAATTTCTCTCAACCATTGTAACTAAGTTTTGTTAATTTTTTATTTTTTTTTTTTTTTTTGAAAATAAATTATCTTTGGACAGTAGAAGGGGTACCAGAAGTTTATTATTTTGGTCCTTGTGGAAAATATAATGCTCTTGTAATGGAATTGCTTGGCCCATCATTAGAAGATCTATTCGATTCATGTGAAAGGCGTTTCACATTAAAGACTGTTCTTCTAATTGCAGTACAATTAGTAAGTATAATTATATTAAAAATAAAATTTCCTTATAAATTTCAAATATTTTTTTTCCTTATTTCCTATAGCTCCACCGGATTGAATATGTGCATAGTCGCCATTTAATATACAGAGATGTTAAACCAGAAAATTTCTTGATTGGGCGGGCATCTACAAAACGTGAAAAAGTTATTCATATTATTGGTATGTAAATAAGAGAATGTGTAAATGATATATACATATGTATGTATATTTGTTACATATTTATAATTTTATAGTTTTTAATTTTTAATAATTAATAATTTTTATATTATTTTAGATTTTGGTTTGGCAAAAGAATACATTGATTTAGATACTAACAAACATATACCATATAGAGAGCATAAGTCATTAACAGGTACAGCACGCTACATGTCGATAAATACACACATGGGGAGAGAACAGTCTCGTAGAGATGATTTAGAAGCATTAGGTCATATGTTTATGTATTTTCTTAGAGGATCATTACCATGGCAAGGTTTAAAAGCAGATACTCTCAAAGAGAGATATCAAAAAATTGGCGATACCAAAAGAGCAACACCTATTGAGGTTAAAAAAATAAATTATTTTTAATTTAAAATCGTTAAAATTATTCTAATAAAAAAAAACAACCGAAATTAATTAAGAAAATTTCATGTACGAAAATTTCACTTTTTCAATTGAATAAAATTCTTTTGTGGTCCAATATTTTTATTTAATTTTAATAATTTTGAATTGCGATAAACATAGATGTACAAATATCCTTTCAATTTAAAAAATGGATATTGAAAATTTTTCAAAATGATAAATTATATACATACATAATTATGTAACATTTTTATGTACAAATTTTCATGAATTAAAATTAATTATTTAATTTTTTAATTTTGTATTAAAATTTATTTAAGAATTTGAAAAAGTAAAGTCAAGGTCTTGTAAACTGTAATAAAAATATTTAAAGTTTAAATTCTTATTCTTGTTGGAATTACATTTCAAGTTTATGTTTCTTTTTACACGTTAAATTTTTCTTTTTATTTGAATTTTAATATTCTTTCACTTTTAAGTACATAGGAAATTTTATGTAATAAGAAAAAATTATAATTTATTTAAAGTTAATTATAAATTTTGTAAAAATTATTTAAATATAAATATAAATTTTATTAAATATGGCAAAGTTGCTAAATATTCAAAAAACTAATAGAATAGTTGAGAATGAAATCAAAATTAAATATAACAACTTTAAATTTAAAAATATCACAATTGCTAAATTTAGATTGTAAAAGGATTTTTAATTTTACATTATTAAGTTTAATAGTCTAAAATAATTAAATAAATTATACAATTTATTATTTTAATTGTATATATTAGAACCAAAGTAATTTTTCTTCTGTTTATAAAAGCTTGAAATTTTCTGAAACATGTTTAATTTAACCATTGCTAGATAACATATTCTATTCGGTAATTTTATAAAGATTATAACTCGAATATTTCGATTAATTTGTATTTTTGCTTTTGCTTTTTTTTAATCAAATTTTCTAGTTGTATTTTAAGCAAATTTACAAACTTATTTTAATTTATTTGGCCATCAAATAAAACAAAAATACTTCTATATGTTGAAAATTATATTATTTCATTCCGAATTTTTTTTTATTTTAAGCTTTTCTCTGATAATTGTAATCTAATAGAATATGTTTATTTAAGCATTAAGTATTATGGTATAAAATAATTTAAGAAAATAATTTTTCGGTATTAACAAAATTATTATATATATGTATTTTATTATAAATTTTTATTATTATATAATTGTATATATATTATTATTATATTATTGTTTATATTATGTTTAAAAATCAATTTAAAATTTTAGGTTTTATGTGAAGGTCATCCCGAAGAGTTTTCCACATATTTAAGATACGTTAGAAGACTAGATTTTTTTGAAACACCTGATTATGATTTTCTTAGAAGACTGTTTCAAGACTTATTTGATCGAAAAGGATACATCGATGATGGAGAATTCGATTGGACGGGAAAAACTATGGTAAATATATATACAATTATATATATATCTATATGTATATATATATATACACTTTAAAAATACATATATTATATGTATATATAAAAATATTATAAAATTTTCTTATAAATTTTCTAAAACCATATAATTAAAACTTGAATGACAATATTTTTAAAACACATAATTTCTATTATACTAAACTTAAGATTGAAAATGAAATATTTGAATTTTGAAAACTTTAAAAAACACGAAATGGAATTAATAACTCAATAATAATGTTACGAGAATAATATTGATAAACAAATAGTTTTGAAAATTAAAAAGAAAATGTAAGGAAACAGGAAAATTGGAGCACATACTTAAAACATACATATAAATATAATGGAAAAAATTAAAAAACTATAAAGAAACAATAATTTTGTTTTAATTTTACTTTTGTTTTTTCTAAATTTTAATGATTTTAATATAAAATGATTTGAAAAACAATAACAAAAATATTTACATTTATCATATTATTTGATTTCATATATTTTACTCTAAAATTGCTTAATTTTCTTTCATTTGTTTGTTTTGTTTTCTTTTTTTTTTTTTTTGGATTTTTTTTACACTTGCATGCGAAAATACTTTTTTATTATAATTTTAATTGATTGATTTTTAACGAAATTAAAAAAAAAAAATACAAAAGAATAAAGACCAACTTGAACGGATGAGAATACTTAAAAACGCACCTCCTTCTCATCGTGCTAAAAACAAATCTGATAAGGTGATTTTTAAGTTGATTTTAATGTAAAATTGTATTGCTAATAATCGACATAAATTCACTAATAAATTGAAAATATCACATTTAGCACAAAAAATCAAGAGTATTTTATGTAAAGCCATATAAAGATCTTTTTGTCAAAATTCAAATTCTAAAAATCAAATGCAGAATTGCATTTAAAATTCATATTTTTGTAAGATTTGAAAAAAAATTCTTTCTCGTTCTTTTACTTTATTTTTTATTCACTTTCAAATCAGAATTCTCCTTTTTTCTAAGGGATATTTCATTTTACCAATATAATTTATAATTTTTTCATGTAAGTTTTTTGTATTTGTTCTCAAATTATCGACTAAACCTGTATCATCTCCCAAAAACAAAGTGAATTAAATTTTGTATACATTTTAGAAGCGAGATACGTAATACGAAAAAAATTTTCTCACTCGAAAATTATATTATATATATATATATATATATATTGTGTTAGTCATTCATATTTACAGTTATTGGCGAGTAAAATAGCGAGATATACACGGTCACATCCTGAAATTCAGTTAATGTATAGTTTCTCAAATATTTTTTTAATAGTTTCTCAAATTACTATATTTCGTCCTTGTAACAATGTGTTTCCTTTTATTAAAAGTACAAAATAAATACAATCCGATTATGGAAAAAACTAAAAATAATTTGAAAAATAAAATAAAATTGCATTATGATTCGAAATTAAAATTATATTTGTTTTTTGAATTACGAAAAAATTTCATAGAGGTAGGTAGGTTACATCAATTTTTTTTTTTTTGTTTGCAAAACTAATATGTATTTCATTAAGAAACATTAAAAATTTCTTAAATACAATAAATTTAATATTGATTATTTTTTTCCTACATATAGAAATGTTTATAGCTTAGCTTATTTTTGCAAATATTTTCAATGAAATTGTAAAATTTTATCACAAACATCACTTTAATTTCAATTATTTAATATTTTACAATATGATTAACGTATTATTCGAAATATTCGTTCTGTTATTCAATCGTTTTTGAATTATGGTACTTAATTCAGAGACCAAAAACAAAAAAAAAAATTCATTAAACTTTCTTTAAAAATGCTTTGAATTTATTTTGTTATTAAATAAAAAATTAGAACATTATTGAACCATAGATCAACGTTAAAAAAAATGAAAAAAATGAATTCATAAAGTACTTTCGGTGAATTGTGGCAAGCAATTCACTCACATTTTCCATATTTTAAATAATTTTTTTCCCCCAAAAATTGCATGCTTGTATTTTTAACTATTCTCACAATATTACAAAGGTTTACTAAATCATCATTTGAATATGTGAACCACTTCTTTTTTTTTTTTTTTTAAAAAAAGGCAGTAATTAAGGTTTTTATTTCGATAAAAATATTTTGAAAATCAAACCGTTTGAATTTACATCTAACAATTTAGTGATAAAATAAATTGCTTGTTAAAATTTTTTTTACTTTTATACGTACATACATACAATATTGTTTAATAACATTTATAACATTATTACCGAATCATGGTATTGCTATACAAATTTTAATGTTTAAATAGTAACTTGGTTTATAATTTTTTTTTTTTTATGTTAAACTAAAAAAAAAAAAAAATGTTTTGCATTATTTGTATATAACCAAATTTTATTTTTATTTTTTCATTTCTAATTACATTTTACCTTCAATGTGTTGATTGTAGTCTACACCAGTAGGATCTCTGCAAACTGGACATGAAGTCATTATTTCACCAAATAAGGATCGGCATCCCACATCTAAGGTATATGTTATTAATAAATATCACTTTGTTTTTAATTTCCTTCACTGGCAATCAAAAATCAAAAATTGGAGTTTTTAATTTAATTTTTTTTTTTTTTTTTTTGCATTGAATTAAATGCGATTTTATACACTATTATTTTCAGCGCAATAAATTTTTATTGAAATTAGCAACTATAAATTAATTTAATTAAATTTAAACTTAAAGTTTTATCAATAACTAGTTAGTCCCTGTATCCATTATGATTTTATTAATTAATACAAAATAATAAAAACAGTGTTATTGCAATTAGAAGATCTTGTTGTATTTCTGTACTCTTATACTAATAAAACGAAAAAAATTTATTCGAGATTTTTTTTTGTTTAAAAATTTCTATTTTTTGACTTAATTTCTTTGATATAAAAATTTTTTATATTTAATAATTTTCTCTAGAAATCCGTAAAATTGTAAAGCACATAAAGAAGTTTTCATATTATAGTTTCCTTTTCACATTTATCAAATTATAAATTATTTGTATTCAATGATATCAATATATTAGGTTCGCCTGATTCGTCAAATTTTGTGTTATCCTTTATTGTTCTTATTTTACGAAATTATTGTTAGAAAACTCTATAATTCTCTCATATGGGACTATAAGATATTATAATTAATGTATGTTTCTAAATTCCGTAAGTAAATTTGTGATTTACTTACATAAATTTTATTTTTTGAATATTATTTTTGGGCAATAATAAATTGTTCTTCAAATATGAGATTAAACCTAATTGATTTTATTTTATCAAATCAAACACAGTGTTTTTCATATACTCAAATAATTTGAGCTTTTTGTATTTTAGGGAAAATTATTAAATTAAATATTAAAAAATAACTGGTATATTTTTTGCTACATTTTTCATTGTTTTTTAATTATTAATTAAAAATTTTGAATTTTTGAATATTTTGTTTAAAATTTGTTTTTTATATTATGTACATTTTGCGTAATACAAAAAAAAAAAAAAAACAAATGTAATTGTAAATGATTGTTAAAAAAAAAAAAGGCTGATTTTGATGATGACGATTTTTATGAGGAAGATGAGGAATTATATATTGATAGTGAAATACGAAGTTTCAAGGTTAGCAATTAAGGGTTAAAACAATATAACTAACTGTGCCTTTTCATTTATGTTAGAAAATTTTTGCTAGGTTTTCACAATAAGTGGAAATTTTTACAATTGCCAGTATAAATGAAAACCATTTGTTTTATGTACGCATCTTTAAATAGGGGAATATTTAAATTCATAAAATCGATTTTAATTAATGTGAAAAATATTTGTTTTTAGTTTTTTTTTTCTTTTCTTGCCAAATATTTTTGTTTTGTTATCATTTTTTTTCAATGCACTTTATCAATCAATCCATTCAAAATACTAACTGAATGCAGGAAGCGAACTGAAACGTAACGTACATAAATTTCATTAAATTTATGCGGAAATTTAAATAATAAATTTTATAAAATTCTCATTAATAGAAATGTGAAATAATTTAAAAAGACAAAAATTCAGCTTTTCAGCTTCTTATATTTCTAACATAATTAGATATTTTTATAGATAATTCATAACATCCATTCAAACAAAAAAAAAACAACACAAATATGCAATCGAAAGCAAAATTTTTTTTCTACTTCCTCGCTTCGGAAGTGGAACAGTTCGCTTAAAACAGACTTTAATGTAGCTTTAAACAAATAAAACAATATAAGAAAAAAATTTCAATACCCAAAATTATAAAGATCTAAGTATTTAATTAAAATATTAAAATTATTTAAAAAAATATATAATCTTAAATTGAACACCTTAAAATTCATGAATTTCAGTATTGGCTAGTTGAATTAAAAATTTAGTCTATTGTAATTATTAATTTAATTTATTTTACTAAGTGACATTTTTATTTCTCTGATGATATCATATTTTGAAATTTTTTTTGTTTTGAAATTTTACTGAGAATTTATTACATCTTCATTTGTATAATTTCGGCTAATTGTAGGTAAAAACAGTAAAACTTTACGAACAAATCATTTAAAAGCTAGTAAAACGCTATTAATTTTCCCATTATACTGCACTTTCTTAAGCTTAATATATTTTTTTATACATTTTTTTTTAAATTTTATTCATAAAATCCAAAATTTGTAATGAATTAAAATTTATTAATTTGCTTATATTCTTATAAAGTTTTGTATGCTATTTCGTATTGCATGCATATAAGTGAATTAAGAAACCCAAATTAGAGGGTATTTTCTGATTTAACTTCATTACAAAATTTGGTTTCTTAAAAAAAAAATAAGAATTTTTTGGTTTAATAAAAATTTGATTTTTTTAATTGAATTGCCTTAAAAGTTTAATCTAAAATTTAAAATAATAGAAAAATAATTTTCATATTGTTTTTTGTTTATTTAAATTTCAAATTTGCTATCATCTCTCACATTCATCATATACGAAACATCCAACATATGTGCTAATGCCGATCTTGCCATAAACCAAAAATTTTTACTAACTTGTAAATAAAAAAAAAAACACAAACATTTGAATGAACAAAAAAAAATCAAAAAAAAAAAATGGAATTAATTTATGAATAAAGGCAAACACTAAACAAGGTGTGTCAGCATGGCCTGATGTTCCAAAGCAGGGTGCTACACTTGGAAATCTTACACCAGCAGATAGACACGGTTCAGTACAGGTAAGAACTATAAAAAAATTTTTCTTTTTTTTTTTTTTTGTTGGATTATTCACAAAGAAAAAGCTTTTTTTTTTTTTTTTTTTTTGAGTTGGCTTAATTTCTGCAATAAATTTTCAGGATATTTAAAAATTTTCTTTAATTTTTATTACGTTATAAAAAAAATACCCACTTGGTTAAAATAAATATTTATAGATCTGATAAAAAAATAAAATTAATAATAAATTAAATTAGAAATAAATTAAAATAAGGTATGCCATGCCCTTTCATGCATGCTTAGATAGAATAAATTGCAATCTTAATTTTTATTTTAGTAATTAGTACGAAAAATAGGAAACATATGAACAATAGGACGAATAGAACATTCACTTGAAAAATACTTAATGACTCAATATTTAAGAACAACTTTTTAAATAATTACTACAAAGGCAGTTTCAGTTTCCATTAAATTATATAGCATCAAGTTTTTAATAAGTTTTAATATTAAATTACAAAAATAAAGTATCAAAATTTAGTGTAAAATTTTCGTCAGGTTAATTATTAAAAAAGTTAAATGAGTCTTCTTTTTAATGAACATATTCATTTTTTTTTAACAGCTCCGATAACGAATCCATTATTCGTACAATTTTCTCTTTATTTCTTAATGGTAATGCCATGCACTCGAAAATATTCTTTTTCATTAAAACTATATTCATCATACAAAACATGTTTACTATACGTACCAAGAAAAAACCGTAAGGTATCGTTAACATGCACAAATTTACATAGAAGCTAGTTTTAACGCATTGATTTAGTTTATAATATTTATATTTTAATTTCAATTATGGTTCTCCAATTAATATAAAAATATTTTACAATCTTTGCAATTTCTTAAAACATTGAATTTTCAATTAATTTGCAAATATTTTAAATCTTGTAAAATACATGCATTTGTTCTTGAATATGATAATTAAATTTTTTCGAATCTTAAATTGAATCTAATTCAGATCTTCGTGAAATCGTTGATTTTTTGCAAAGACGGAATGAATTAAAATTTGAATGAAAAAATGATGAGAACATTTTCCAATATTTCAAGAATTTATTTTTCCTTATGATTGATTTCAAATTTATTTGATTAATTCAATTGATAAGCTCGTATTTTTCCTCAATAATTTTAATGGAAAAAAAATTTTCCATATTAAGAATTTCAAAATAATTTATTATGAAATTCATTTAAGAATTTTATTTTATAATTTTGAAAGAATTTTGAAAAAATTAAAATATTTTTCTTTTCGATTCATATGCACATAAAATATTTGCATGAAATTTTTAAAGAAGATTCAAATGAACAATTTAAAGTAAGTACCATATCGTTTTAATATGAACCAACAAAAAAAAAAAAAACAGGATTTTTGCATGCTTTAAAATATGAAAATTAAGTTAATTTTTATTGTAAATTTTATGCATGCGAACATTTTAAATAAAAATTTTAAACTTTTACTAAAATTTCGTTAAATATCTACTTTTTTTTTTGTAAAATGTAATATTTTTTTCCTAAAACATATTCTTTACAACATCATCTTGAAATTTTATGAATCAATTCAAACACTTTGCTCATTTCTTATATAATTTAAATCATTTATTTGTTCGCTTCAAATAAGTCATATATTAAATGTTCTTTTTTTTTTCATTAATATTTTGTTTTTCCAATATGTGAAAATTAAAATTATTGCCATCAAAATTATTATTTTTATTCAATTGTCATCAAAATATAGAAAATTTTGTTCTTAAAAGATGATAATTTAATTATTAAATTTATAATTAATTACTTTTATCGAAATCAATAAAAACAAAAAATTAATAAAATTAATATAGAATAAAGAAAGTATGGGTGACCTATTTTCCTTTTTCTTAAATCCTTTCCAAAACGAAAGTAAAAATAAAAATAAACAAAAAAAAAAAAAAAAAACAAACAAAAAGGATACGAAGTTTTTTGGTATTCATTGGAGAGTAATAAATTCTTTATTATGTTAATTTTAATTTTTTAGGAAAAAGATCCCGATTCAGATAGTGATGATATTCCTTTTGATTCTAATTTTGTTGATCCAGGAAGATGGCAACTTGAAACAGAAAGTAAAGAAAAAAAAGAACAAACCGAAATTCTAGATAGCCCCAAAAAATCAGATACATAAATCTTGATTCTAATTCTTAATATATAACACAGAATACAAAATAAATACATATAAATATATATAAATTATATATATATATATATATATTTCAATAATAAAATGATTTGTAGATGAATATTTTTAGTATAAATAGTAAAAAAAAAAAAAAACAAAAATTGCATAGTGCGAAGCGAAAATAAAGCTAATAAATATATTTTGAATATTTTCAAAGATAACAAAAACAAAACAAATATTTACCTATATAAGTATAAAATTTTAAAAAAACAAATTATATTTTATATAAAAAGCATTAAAAGAACCAATGTAAGTAAAAATAAAACAAAAATCATCAAAAAATGAAAAGGCATCCATGTTTTACAGCATTCAAAGTGCATCCTTATTTACATTTCTGTTTTGTATTACTTTTTTTTTTTATTTTATTTAATTTTTTTTTTTTTGTTTTTAAATAAAATATTTTTTTATATGTTATTTTTCATAAATGATCAAAAATATTTGAAATTTCACGTCTTCGATTCTTTTAAAGAAAACAAAATTTCAACAAGATTACAAAATTTTTCAGCACTTTAATCTGTAAATTCTTTGAAATCGTTATAAAAAATCATTGCAAACTTTTTACGAAAAAAAAATATAATTATTTTGTTTGTTTTTTTATGAGTCATAAAATCCTTTATTTTTATATTTTTATTGTTCATAGAGCCCATTTTAAAGCTCATATTATGGGGGTACGAAATTTGGTAAAACATTTAAAAATTATTTTAAAATTTCATTGTTAAAAGAAGTACTTACATATATTTTGTTTTTATTTCCATACGAAAAGCTAAATGTTATGTTTAGGAATGTTTTTATAAACTCATTTCGAAAATAAAAATTCACAAATTGCACACAACAACTCATATTTAAAAAAAGAAAAAAAATTTTTTTATCAAATACATACAAAGTTATTAAATATAAAATTTAAAATATTTTTTTTTTTTTTTTGTTTTTTGTTTTCTCATCCATATTATAACTTCAATTCAGTTTATTCATTCTTTGCAGGTTGTAAGTTCTACAAACGGAGAATTAAATGCAGACGATCCAACAACTGGACATTCAAACACTCCAATTACACAACAGCAAGAAGTTGAAGTTCTTGATGAAACAAAGTTAGTATTTTTTTTTTTTTTCTTATCAAAGATATTATTATTGTTCTAAAACAGTTCTAGATTTTGTTTTATTGAATAATATAAAACATAAAAATATATTGAAGATTTAATTCTATTTGTATATATGTATATTAATATATTACGTATATATGTATGTATATTAATTTTTTAATATTTTATTTATTTACAAAAATTATTAAGAAAAAAAAGGCATTCTTTTCTTTATAGATGTTGTTGCTTCTTTAAAAGAAAAAAAAAGAAATCACCACGTCAAAAATGACTAGAGGGTATGCAACGTAGCCCAGAACGTGAAGCTGTTACATTGCTTCGTGCAACCTCACATTCAAATTCGCGAGATAGTATATTAAATAATCAGACCAGTCAGGATTACATGCATCAAACAGTTTCACATCATACATTACGTTATCCTCCATCCGCGTCAATATTGACGCCAACACCAACTAATACACCTACACTTCCGTTGTAAAATATTGTTTATATTTATATGATACTAAACAATTGTAATCATTATGAACAAAAAACAGAAAAAAAAAGTAAAAAAAAAGAAAAAAAAAAGAAAAAAAAAATTTTATATTTAAGTCATTTTCTCATCACTATTTTAGCAATAAATATGAAATAATCACTATAAACAATAAAAAAAAGAAAAAAAGAATAAAAAAGAAAGAAACAAGTATTTCAATATATTATTATATTCATATGAAAAAAAAAAAAAAAGAAACAACAAAAAAACAAAAAAACAAAAATTGTAAAGATTACAAGAAACTTACGTATAAGTTTAATCCAAAATATTTTAAAATATAAAACGCAATAAATAATTCAAATTAAGGAATATATTTATTTCTTGTGGTTTTTCTTTTCGTAATTTCTTTACATAAGATTGAATTATGTACACATACATAATATGTTCGGTAATTACATTTAAAAAAAGTAACTACCATTGAGTAGGACATCAAAGTTTTGAAATAGGCTCATGAAGTTACTTTAATTACGAAAACTTAATGTGTAACTAATTCTTTTCACGTTTTTAATGCCTTTTCAATAATATTAATAAAAAATTCAGTATTATATTGCAATAATTATATGTAAAATTTTTCCTTTAAGGTGCTAGTTGTAGAATTAGGGGTAATTAAATATTTTGACATAAAAATTAGATAGAACAATTCAAATAACTTTGATTGGCCAAAAATAAGTTGCTGCTTCTCAAAATATGTGTACAATCGAGGGTTTATGAGGAAACTCTTCTGTCTAAAATATTATGTAAAAGAAATATTTAAATATTTTGAAATTAATAAAATAAACCTATACCAAATTCAGTGTGGGACAAAGGCTTTTCTCCATAAGCCCATGACGAAAAACTGTTTTTATTATTTCCTTTTTATTTTGAATATTATGCATTGTATTTGGTATTTTAAAGTTTTTTTATAAATGCAGATAATTTTTATGCGTAATATTTTTACAATTTTAAATTAAAAAAGAAAAGAGTAGAAATAGAAAAACGTCGGATATTGAGGGTATTGAAAAATGTTTTATAATAAAAATCTACAAAAGTGGATGTTTACAGTCTGAAACCTGTCCAAAATACCAATAAGCCCACTTGGAAATTTTTGGTTACTCAGTTCTAAGTTAATTCTTAATACAAAGCGTAAAAAAAAAATTAAGAAAAATAAATTTCTGCTACAAAAAAATCACATTCGAAAAATGCAGATGGGTTTACACACTTATGAAATTGTTAACAACTAAATTAAACAACTTATTCAAGGATCGTAAACAAGATATAAATTAAAAAGCAAATAAATAAATTTTTGGAAAACTCAATTTTTAAAATACTTTATTCCTTATAAGTACAATACAATCTATGAACCGGTTTTGTTAAATTGTTATTTACTTTTGAAATATAATTAGTGAAATGGGTTTGGTCGTCAGTACAGTAAATTATATTTAATGAATTATCTTGAGGATAAACTGTTAAAAGTGCTGAATCAGATTTAATTTCTTCATATGATCCATCACTATCACGCGACAAATAAGTAACGGTTCCAACATTATCTATGGAATTAAAATATATAAATAAATTAAGTTTGCAATCCTCTGAAAAACTGTCGTCAAATAAAAGAGTGTATGAGCCCTTATTCAATCTCTGAAATTCGAAAAAACAAGTTGGATTTTTTGAATTTTTGCCATAAAAATCTAATGCCGTATACTCAAAGAGTAATTTGAACATTTCTGTAGATGAAAATATTTCAATAAATTTTTGTAATAAGCCATCTGTTGTGAGGATATCTAAAACTTCATAATGTGAACTGCTTGCAGGTCCTCTTTTCATCCATTTTAATTTTGGATTTTCTAAATGTTTACAAATATCATTAAAGACATTTGGAATTAAAAAATCTTCTAAACTTATTTCTGATTTCATTTCAATACAACTCTGAATTTTGGTCTTTGTTTTACGCTCTAAATATACAGAATTTATCCATTCTGATAAATTTATATCTAAAGTATTTGGATTTTTATAATAATTCGTTATTTTTGGCTTTACAAATGATTTCAAATCTTTATTCACGTCCCCATAAAACCATCCGTTTATTGTTAAACGCGGATAATCTAAATTTTTCACCTCTTCAACTTGATGAAATGATAAGGCCCCAACTTTAAAGAATACAAATTGATTATTTATTGGCGATATATGGCGGATTGCTGGAAAATCTGGAAAACCATCTGAATCAACATTGAAAATTTCTAGAGCACCGCCCATATCTTTTGTCCATACATTTTTATCAAATGGGGAAATATAAAATACGTAAGCAATTTGTCGATTGGAGCAAAGATCATCATGTACCAATAAAAAATCTCCATTATTATACATTGAACACGACGCTGAAACACGGTTAATTTTTACATCACAAATAGTTTCAATCCATGGCTTAACTTCATCTTCTAACAATTTAAGAAACTCTTTTAGGTATTGTGCATTTAATTTTGATATATCATCACTCTGCCTAAAGTGATACAGATCCATTTGCTTTTTTATCCAATCCACTTCAAGAATATCATGAAGCAAATTTGTTGTTAAATTTTCTTTTTCAAAAAAATTTTCTGAAAATTAGAGATATATTTGAATTAGTATTATATGACGGTAAATTTAATTATTGATAATTTAAATGAAACCAAGCCAAAATCAGATATTTTATGGAATTTTTGTTATTTTATTTACATAAGATTTTTGTTTGCTATTTGAAAACAAACAAAGAATTTTTCTGAAACAACAGTACACACTAGAAGTTCCTTAAAAAATTGTAATGAAATTATAAACTTTAAGTACAAAAAATGTGGAATGTAAAAATATGTAAGGTAGTTATAATTAGAAACTTAAATAAAATTCACTTCTACCGGTTTCATTTTTTTTTAAATTGCTCTAAACAACCATACCTACTACTGCTAGCTTAAAAGGAGACCCGTAGAATTCCACATTTTTTTCCTTTAAATCCTTTCCGTTTTTCCAAGACTGACTTAAAGTTGATATAAAATTTTTATTTGAATAGTCTTTATTCATTGCAAATTTTGTTTCCAAATCTAATGTTTACTTTCAATTTTACTTTCGGAAAAATCATATCAATCAAATCACGTTTCTTTAAACGTCATAACATTGTAATAACATTTTTTAAAGGTGTCATTTGAAAAGCTGTGTTTATGTCATTGGCAATAACGATATACAAATGAAATACTAGTAGTAAATGAATAAAAATTTAAACGCATGAGTAAAACAAAATCGTAGTCAAATTTTCTTCTTTTTTCCTATCGGATTTGATACGGAGCAAAAAAATCTAATAGGTTAAGATTTTAGACTTTGCGGATTTTGCTGAGATTGTATAGAACAATGATATAAAGTTGGAATATAATTATTAATACTTTAAAGATTCAGTTTTGAAAAATGGTTAGAGTTTACAAGTTTTTAACTAATAGTTAAAAATATGCAATGAAAGAAGGCATTCGTATTATACATAAGCCGCATACGATTCTACCTGACTTTTATGCTAACTATTGAGGACCATTAAAATAGGATATGCATAAGAAATTGTGAAACATCTTTGAAATATCAACTTTTGTAAAATTTGATTTTGTTAATTATCAGCAAAAATAATATATTGTAATGCACAAGAATGAAAAAAAACGACACTTGTAGATCAAACATTACTATGAATGCATATACATGTCTCAAAAATTGTGTATAACAAATTCCGAATTATACTTCTGAGCAGAGTTCTGTTGGATACTGAACTGCATTTATAAGAAACTACTGTTACAAGGTGTGTAATCAAAAACATACGATATGTAAGAACGAATTTTTATTGTTACTTTACCAATACCATCTACTCCAAATTTTCATTAAATTCTGAATAGAAATCATACATACATGTGAACATGATGAATTTTTAATGTTAATTTAAAATTAGAATAAAAATGAAATGTCAAATCTTATCATTGCATTGTAAATGCGATATACTTCAATTTGACACCAATTTCATTAAAAAGTTGCATTTGGGTTTTGAACTTTTAGAGGTCGTGGATTAAGTTTCTAATTGTTAAATTTGGCAATATACTATAAATTAAAAAATTTGTAATATTTAATAACAATTTGAACTTAAAAATTCGATAATGTTTGGACAAATTGCAAGACAAGTTGCTACTGTTTCTGCTCGTAGCTTTTCAACAACAAGCACGGTAATTTCATTTTACTTAGGTTACTTTTACGTAATATGTGTATCAGAACATTATATAGAGAATTGATGATATTTCAAAATTCATCTGATGAAATCTAAAAAATTTTTAATTATTTTAAGAATAATCATAAGGTAGCTGTTATAGGAGGTGCAGGTGGAATTGGACAACCCCTTTCATTACTATTGAAATTAAATTCTAATGTAACAAAACTTGCGGTTTATGATGTCGCTCCAGTGACTCCCGGTGTTGCTTGTGATTTATCCCATTGCGATACCAGTAGTGAAACAGCAGGGCATGTTGGCCCCGAACAGTTAGGTGCAGCTTTGCAAGGTAAATAAACAATGTTGAACACTTATACATACTTCTTCCATTTTACAAATAAATGTAACAAATTTTACAAATAACATTTTACAAATAAATGTATAAACTTGATAACAGTAGCTAATACATACATATATGTATATAATTGTAATATTAATTCCTAGAAATATCTACATACATAAATTATAAAAGCAAATCAGTGTCACTTGCTTTAAAAATCGAACTTTAAAAAAAAGCTTAAAATTACTATTTTTTAACTTAGTTAAATAAGTTAATATAATAAGTGATAATTATTTATGTGATTAATATATATGTATGAATGTGTTGTTGCCTTTATGAACGTTGTAAGATAAGGAAATTATACCTACTTGAATATTTTCTTAATAATATTCATTCTATATAAGAGTACAGACCAAGGAATTTTCCAACTTTTTTAGGGAAATGTTAAATTTCTTAAATTACTTTAATATTGCTTGTTTCAGGTTGTTCAGTTGTGGTTATTCCAGCTGGTGTGCCACGTAAACCAGGAATGACTCGTGATGATTTGTTTAATGTTAATGCTTCAATTGCCAAAGCAACTGTTGAAGGTGTAGCAAAACACTGTCCAAAAGCTTTAGTAGCCATTATTACTAACCCAGTTAATTCATTAGTTCCGATGGCAGCTGAAGTGTTGAAAAAGGTTTGCTAATCTAATATTTACAAGTTTTTATATAAATAAAAATTAAATCAATTCTAGGCTGGATGTTATGATCCAAATCGTTTATTCGGCGTAACAACCTTAGATGTTGTTCGCGCTCGTGCATTCCTTGGTGAAGCCCTAAAAGTCGACCCACAAAAGGTAGAAATACCAGTTATTGGTGGTCATGCTGGTATAACAATTATGCCCATTTTATCCCAATGTAAACCAAAATACAGTGGTTCGCAAAAAGAAATTGAAGCTTTAACTGCCCGAATTCAAGATGCTGGCACTGAAGTAGTCAAAGCCAAAGCTGGTGGTGGTTCTGCAACTCTCTCTATGGCTTATGCAGGTGCAAGATTTGCTGGTTCACTTCTACGTGGATTAAATGGAGAAAGCAATGTCATCGAATGTACATACGTTGAATCCAAAATTACAGATGCTTCATTCTTTGCCACTCCCGTAGTTTTAGGAAGAAATGGATTAGAAAAGAACCTTGGCATGCCACCACTTAATGACTACGAAAAGAAATTGGTAGAAGCCGCCGTTCCAGAATTACAGAAAAATATTAAGAAGGGGGTTGATTTCGCTAAGAAGTAAAAGCATATTTTCCCGATATAAATTTTTTTGTTATTTTTCTTTTGTTATTAAGCACATCCACAATCGAAATATAAAAATATTTACCACCTTTCTACTATAACTTATAGATCTGAATAAGAATAAAGTTGATAATAAAAAAAAGATTGAACCCCATTAAATAGTTTTAGTTTTATATTAAGAGCTATATTATGAAATATTATCATTCGGGAACTGAAATATTACCATTCAGGAACTCAAATATTAGTATTAATATTAATAGAATGGTTGAAAACTACACATTGAAGCAAAAAATATAACATGGTTCGTAAAAGTAAGTGGCATTTGGAGAAATGCACTTTGAAAAAACTATTTTTAAGAATCGTAACGAGTCAAGCCACATTGCAAAAGGGCATTAAAAGCTTTGTCCATAATTCAAAATTACCATTTACATATACATATGTACATATGTATGTGTTTTTGTTATTCAAAAGTATCGTCTACTTGTCTTATCGCTGCAAATAAAGTTAGCTTAATGCAAGTACATACATACATACATCCCTTTCTATGACCATACAATTTATATGCATGTACAATTCATGTTATTGGATTTTATGTTTTCACATGTTTCTTTTGAACATTTTTATAAATATTAGGCAAGACACCACCCCTGCTTGACTTAGAAATATATTTATTCAAGGTCGTTAGGTTGTAAATTTTAGTACAAGTAGAGTTTTAGTACAAAAGTACATCAGGGGTTGAAATTGATTATACAGTTTGCGCCGCGCAACATGCAATATACTACATCAGCTGTTCTTTAATTAGTTTCTTTATTGACGTTTGCTTTGCAGTTAAGAAGTTTTCTGTGATAATTTCAATTTTTGTTTTTCGCATTATTTTTGGGTTAATTTTCGTTTAACAAATTTAAAAAATATTTAAAAATTATAAATGTTAAAATAATATGATACCACGTCCGTTTGCATACGATTTGGAACGGAAGAGGCAAATAGATACATTAAAAATTTTCAATGACAAGTAAGTATTTAATTTATATAAAATACATACGTTAAGTATCTAAGTACATGTACTTATCTTATGTACATACATAGCTATTGTACCTATGAAAGCAAACTTATTAAAATTAAAGGCCGAAATTGAAGGTTGAAATAAAGTGCAATTAAATGAAAATAATTAATGGAAATTTTTAATTTTAGTGTCACACAAATAAAGGAAAATGAAGAATATGCCATTCAATTCGAATCTGGACAACGTCTATTCACTTTGAGTGTTGTGCTCAGTCAACAGTTTCCAAATGAAAAACCTCTTTTGACAATATTGCCACCAGTAAAGCATTCATACTGCAATGCGGCAGGGGTTGTCCTTAACGCACCTGGAGTTTTAAATGTAAGGTTTACTTTGAATTAAATTATTTTTCTAACTATTCTTGTTTTAGTATTCGCCACATTCTGATTTAGGTCGGGTTGTTCAAGCAATTATAAGAGAGTTTGAAAAATTTCCTCCACCATTATGTGATGGCAATAATGGTAATAGCAATACTGATTCTTTAAGCGTCAGTAAAGAGCTGTCTCCACAGGAAAATATGATTTATCCTGCAGTCAACAAAAATATTTTTTGTGGTCAAATTCCGTCTGAACTGACAAAATTATCGTTAAATGAATTAAAAAAATTGGACAGCGACCCACAATTTTTTGATGACTTCATAGAGGAATTGAATGTTGTCCGGAACTTAAACTATGATCTCGATACTCTTATTAATCAAGTTGAACTCATTGCAAGTAAGTTAAAATTGATAAATTTATGTTTCAGGCCAGATTAATAGAATTATGACAAACATACCTCATTGGAAGACAAATTTTTGCTTAATTGCTTGTATTTGTACCTTATTCAATGACTTATTCCAATATATTTCAGAGGAAAATACTTCGAAGGAAGAGCATTTAAATGAACTAAAAACAAAACTATTCCAAGATGTGAACACACTCAAGGATTTGGGTGAAAAATGTGAAAAACTAAACCAAAAGTACTTAAAAAAATCAGAAGAATATGCACCGCAACATATTAAAGTAAATTTGGTTTTCATAATTTTTAGATATTATATTTTGTTATATTTTGTTGTATTTTAAATTATTGTACGTTCTACACAACATTTACATTTTTTAGGAACTCTTACAAATTGCTGCATCTAATTCAGATTCAGAATGTGAAAGACATGTTGAGTTGTTTTTGTCTGGTAAAATTGATGTGCAAACATTTTTGAATTCTTACTGCGATTCCAAAAAGATAAGTGCAATGCGAAAGGCCAAAGAGGAAAGATTATCACATCAATTGAATGCTCTTGAAAGGGCTGGACATTAAAATTACGTAAATTACATACATATAAATTGGTCTTAATTAACACAAACATGAATTTACTTTTAATACAGATGTATTAAATATCACAATATATCATATTTATTTTAGAATTACCATAATATAAAATTTCAATGGTCATTTCAATTGTACCAAAAAAAAAAAACAAAATACGAAAAACAAAATTTTGCTTTAATTGTTTTGATCTTTTAATTTAATTCTTTTAATGACTAAAATATTATAAATTATGATATAAATTGAAGAAATCAAAGCTTTAAAATATAAAATTTTTTAATATGTATATTATTTGTTAAACAAGGCGATTATTATCAAAGATGCTATAAAGAGAAGTATAAATTTTAGCAGAAAATATTTTGGATTTGTGAAATTTTATTTTCATAAAATGTATGTAGGTATAAGCAGGCCGACATGTCCCAGTACGTAAAATCGTGAACCCTGACTTGAAATTTTTGTGAAAGTTTGACATCATTTTACTTATACCACGTATACTTCTATGAGCTAACGAAGATAAAGTTAAATTTGATTACCAAATTTCGAACTGTATACATATGTACTTACATCCATATACACATACATAATTTTAGTTTTTAAGCAAACATTGTTCCATTTCGTTAGTTCAAATTATAATTCTTTTTAAACTTACAATCACATAGTTGGAAAGATTAGTGATTGTTTTTATAAAACCTTCAGGTAATAAAAGTTTTTTAAAAGAAAATTAATTTCACAAAAATATATTGATCTAAGAATTTTACATATATGTATGTATATTTTATTTACATATATGTATGTGTGTATATTTTATCTTAGTTAACTAAATTAAGTTAAATAGTCTTAGTTAAATAGCCTTACAGTATGAAGTTTTGTGAAGTTGCAGTAGCAATAAATAGCATTTCATTCTTGAAATGGGTTTATGAATTTTAAAATTCCACCCGAAGGCATGTTTTAAAATTTAATACAAATTGTATTATTATGTACATATGTACTTACATAGCTACATATTAGAATAAATTCACATATTTTTTATTATATAACTTTAAATTATTTAATATATTATAAGTAGAATGATAGATTAATAATGATTTAAAATTATGATAACCTTGTGTTGGTGCATAGAAGATATTGCGTTTGGATTGCAGTGGTAAAAATTGAAAATAAAAATTCTTCATTGACTCTTGCACTTTAATTTCACTTAATCTAATTTAAGAAATGCGCTCACTTTTAAATGTTTTCATAAAACTTTTATTATGACGGTGACTTATATACATATTTTTTATGCAAACTCCTTAAATTTTTAAATAATCAAATAAAAAGTGTATGTATGTAGTTGTTATTTAAAATACAAATAAATTAGAAATTTTTTTCTATAGCCTACTCGGTTGTTTACCCTTTAAAGCTATTTTGTATAAATTATTTTAAATACGTAATGATCATAAATTCAATTAAAATATTTTAATCTTTCTTGTATATGAACATAAGTATATACACATGCCTAGAATCAAGTCGTCTATTAAGTAATATTTGTTTTTCGACAATGCAATGATTCACAAGCCTATCAATAAGTTATTAGAATTGTTTTGGAATAATACAATATATACTTTCCAAATATCCAATTCAATATCGGCAACAAGTTAATGTTAAATTCATTTAAATTAAATTACAGACTTTAAATAAGATACATTTTTTTTTATAAATAAATAAATATATTTTATATAAATATGTAAATTTTTTAGAATGTTAATATGCAAAAGTAACTTAAAAATGATTACATTCGAATAATTTCGATTTCATTTTTTTTTTTATTTTATTTTAATTATATTTATTATATTATAATTAAAAACGAAAATATTTAAATCAAGTAGAAATTTTTCATATAAATAGCTCAACGTTGGTTTATAATTTTCTGCAGTTTTTTTTCAACTACGGTTTGGCAAAGCACACGGTTGCTGTAATAGAATTTTTGAAATCTAATTGAAATTTGGATATCGCAAGCTCAAAACTCAAAATAATTGGATTAAAAAAAAAATTAATAATTTTTAAAACAAAATTTTTAGAATTTGAATAAATAAAATTAGTTATTCAGTGTTTAAAAAAAAAAAAAACAAAAATGACGCCAAAACCACAAGAATCATCTTCAATTGAAAAACATAAATTTTCACGTTTTCGGGCTATGTCTGAAGATGACGAAATTGTAATATCCGGTATATCTGGGAAATTTCCCAATTGCAAAAATCTTGATGAATTTGAGTATAATTTATATAACAAGGTGAATTTATGCATAATCATAAAATATAATATCTTGAAATAGAATTAAAAAATTAAATAGAAGACAATGTTTTGCAACTAAATGACCAAGTGATGTTATCAGAGTGTAAAAGTTCACAATATTTAAAATAATATAAATGCTTTAACGAGCTTATTAAAAAATTACTATTCTTGAAATTTTTAAATGTTTTTTAAGAAAATTAAAAGATTGATGAAAGTTATAATGCAATATTAAATTCTGCAGATAACATAGTGTTCTGCTTTACTAATTTTAGTAAATATAGCACAAAATTTAATTTTTTACTTTACATTCCGTGATATATGTAGTTACATAAGTATGTGTGAAAGCCACAATTCGAGCATTGATACAAGTGCATATTATTACTTAGTTCTAGGATAGATTTAAAAATTTTTGGTAAAAATTAATTTTATTTTAACAAATTTTGGCATTTAAAATAAATTTTTTTCGAAACTAAAAAAAAGGCAGTATTACAATTAAAAAAAATTACTATAATAAATGAAAAAAGGACTTACATATGTATTGGAAAAAAATTTATTATAAAATTTCGATGGCAGGTGTTTTTCTTATAAAAAAATATTTTAGCAGATATTATTGTCATGCTATATAAAAAACGAATCCATTTAGGATATTGGGGCTTTATTTATTTTTTATAATTGTAAAATATTTGGTAATTTACGTTTTATAAGAATGTTCAAGGGTATACCGATTTTATAATTTAATATTAAAAATATTCAAATACATATTCTTCAAGTAAACCGCATCTAAATTAAAATTCGACCTATTTGCAAAATTAAAAATAAATATTGTACATTTGTATGTATACGTGTATATGAAACAAGAGTTCAATTCGATACCAAATATAGTTAGACCCTTGTCATGATTTTACAATTAAATTCCACAGATATTACAATTACAATATACATACATATATGGTAAATATAAAACATGAGAGGTATTAAAATAAAACATGAGAGTAAATTAGCCTTTTCGTAATATTCGTGTTGAGGTGGTTTAAGAATAGTTATAACATTTTATTTTGCATGGTCAGTGCAGGATTGTATTAGTTGTCTACATATTTTTTTGAGTTCATGTGGGATGGTTAATGATATTTAAAATTTGATTTTGGAGTATTGTGACACTGAAGTTAGTGCAGAGCTTTTTAATATGCATCACTATGTTACTGGAATTAAATGTGAACAAAAATCTTGCGTCCTTCGAAATCTAATTGTTTATTTTTTAATTTCTTTTTAAGTAAGTGAGCTTTTAGCACTTGTTTGTTTAGAAACTTTAATATCTTGTGAAATGTGGTACTATATATGTACATAGCTATTTTTTCGTGTTGTAGGCACACATAAATAGAAGTGTGTTATTTATTACTATGTGGAATTTCAAAGTATAGAAACTTATTATGAAATAATTATTTCTTTCGCTCTCTAGAAATCATACATACATATGCACGTACGTACGTTATAGAAAATAGTATGTGCTTTTATTAAATATATATTGATGGCCTCCTTTAGTTTTCGTTGCAGATGGATTCTTGTTATTTTGACATTATAACTTTGCTATATTTTATATCGTGTTTTATGGCGTGACTGTAAAATGCCGATTATGGGCAATCGTGTAATAACAACAGATTAAAAATGCGGGTAGAAATACTTGAAGTTGAAATTGCTGCTTTGTTGTTTCTGAAATAAGTTCTAAATGTTTATACTTATTAGATATTGAAAACTAACTGCTATGTTACATACATACATATGTACATAGGTATGCGCATAAAAATTTTAAAACTTTGTAATGATTTACTCTGGTTTATGCGTCCTTGCTGAAGTATGTGTGTAGCCTGTGATAGACGGGAAAGGGATCTGTCCAAAAGATCAAATTGTTGGTTGTGTTTAAATCCTTTTTATTTTTATTGGAATGTTTTTCATATTAATTTTCAAAGATTTTAAAAATTTTATAATTAAATTTTTAAATGGATCGGATGCTCGTTATCTAATTATTTTTGTATAATTTTAAGGTGGATATGGTAAGACCTGATGGCAGTAATCAATACATTTTGAACGATTTGCCAAATCGTGTTGGTAAAATGTGTGATCGAGATAAATTTGATTCAACATTTTTTCGCGTTCATTTTAAACAAGCCAAATGTATGGATCCGCAATGCAGGTTTCTGTTAGAGACAGCATTTGAATGTGTGTTAGACGCAGGTGTAAACCCTTCAAAATTACGTGGAACCAAAACGGGTGTTTTTGTTGGAGCTAGTTTTTCAGAAGCTGAAAAAGCTTGGTTTTATGAACTCATTTTACCTGGTGGATTCGGAATAACTGGGTAAATATTGAAACAAATTTCAGTAATTGTTTTTGAAAATCTATTCATATGTAAGTAAATGTGTATTTTTTAAAGATGTTGTCGTGCAATGATGGCAAACCGTATTTCGTATTGTTTAGGATTGAATGGACCTTCGGTAAATAAATTATGATTTTTTTTTGTTATTACTAATTCTCCATGATTTAGTACTTAGTGGATTCTGGCAGTAATTCTTCACTTCAGTGCCTAACTGCAGCCTACAATAGTCTAAGGAACGGCGAAATTGACGCTGCTATTGTTGGTGGAGCAAATATTATTCTATTTCCTTATATAGATTTGCATTTTAAAAAGTAAATTCAAATTAGTTTATTAAATTTACATTAAATTTTATTTTACATTATACTCGTACAATCTTATTAGATATTAACACAGAACATTACGTATTTACATTGCAGTTTAGGTGCTATTTCAGAAGACGGAATCACACGACCGTTCGATCAATTTTCATCAGGCTACAATCGATCTGAAACTGTAGCTAGTGTTTTATTACAAAGAAAACGGGATGCTAAGCGAATCTATGGTCAGTTAATTCATGCCAGGTGTAACTATGATGGGTATAAATCTGATGGTATAGCTCAATTTTCAACTACAGCCAAGAAGGAGCTTCTTAATGAATTTTATAATGAAATAAAGTTTAATCCTAGTGAATTGGGTTACATTGAAGCTAATGCGAATGGTGTTCCAAATGAGGATATAAGTGAGTGTGAAATAATAGATACTACTCTAAGCAAATATAGGAAAGAACCACTTATGATCGGTTCCGTTAAATCAAATATTGGCCACACTGATGCCGCTTCTGGAATAGCTGCTATTGTAAAATGCTGTTTAGCACTTAAAAATAAAAAGGTACCTCCCAATTTAAATTTTACTGAGCCACGTAAAGAAATAGTGTCTATTCGCGATGGAAGGTTGAAAGTTGTGAAAGAGATTGAGCCACTTAAAGCGCCATATATCGGTGTAAACTCATATAGCTTGACTGGTGAAAACTCACATGCGTTATTTAAGGCATATGAAAAACCGAAAGTTAATAAAGGGTTACCGGAAGATAACTTACCAAGAATCATTAATTGGTGTGGTAGAACAGAAGAGGGTGTGGAAAATGTTTTCCGCGAACTTGAAGGCAAACCACTTGATGCTGAATACATAGCTTTATTACATGAAATAAGTTCTACGTCTATTTCTGGATACCTCTTTCGCGGTTACGGGTTATTGGCTAAAGATCAAAATAATAATGGAAAAATTTTGGTGAAGGATGTTCAACATCATTCAGGCCTTCAAAGACCAGTTGTGTGGGTATTTAGTGGAATGGGATCACAATGGACAGGAATGGGCACAGCTTTAATGGAAATTCCTGTGATTCGGCAATCATTAATTAGATGCAGCAAAGCGCTTGAACCTAAAGGTTTAAATTTAATTGACATTTTAACATCTAAAGATCCTAAAACTTACGATAATATTCTACATTCTTTTGTTGGAATAGCTGCTATTCAAATTGCTCTCGTCGATTTGTTAAAGTCTTTAAATTTAGAGCCCGATTATATTATTGGGCATTCTGTTGGGGAATTAGGATGTGGTTATGCTGATGGTGGGTTCACTCCTGAACAAATGATCCTCTGTTCCTATTCTCGTGGAAAAGTTAGCCTCGAGACTGAAAAGATTGTGGGATCAATGGCTGCAGTTGGTTTAGGTTATAAACAAATCATTAATATTCTACCATCAACAATTGAGGTAGCTTGTCATAATAGTCACGAATCAAGTACTATTTCCGGACCAGCTGAAGAAATTACAAAATTTGTAAACCAGTTAAAATCGAAAAATATATTTGCAAAAGAGGTACCATGTTCCAATATTGCTTATCATTCAAAATATATTGCTAAAATGGGACCAAATCTACTAAAATATTTAAAACAAATAATTCCGGATCCTAAGTTACGCTCTAAAAAATGGTTATGCTCAAGTGTACCAGAAAATAGCTGGAACAGTCCTGAAGTACAATTTTGTTCTGCAGAATATCACACAAATAATTTATTAAACAGTGTTTTATTTGAAGAAACTGCAAACTTATTACCGAAAGATGCACTTTGTATTGAAATAGCGCCCCATGGTTTACTTCAAGCAATCTTAAAAAGATCAATGCCAAATGCTATACATATTGGACTTACTCAGAGAGGAAATGAAAATAACCATCACTTTTTACTACAGTCTTTGGGAAAGTAAGTTTTCTGGAAAACATTCTGACCCTTTTTTATAAATGACATTTTATTTTTAAATTATAGAATATTTTTGAATGGAGTAGACATGCCAGTACAAAATATTTATCCAAAAGTAGATTTTCCAGTTTCAAATGGAACAAAAAGCATTTCTCCCTTAGTATCATGGGATCATACTGATAATTGGTTTGTTACAGAAGTTAGTGAAGACAAGATCACAAATGAAAGAACATTAAAGATTAGTTTACAAAAAGAAGAATACAAATTTCTTTATGGATATAAAATCGACAACAGAGTTGTGGTACCACCAATGTTCCTAGTTCAAATTGTTGCCGATTTTTATGTTTTCTTACACAAAGCGAATTTAATGGAAACAGGAATTCAGTTTGATAATATTAAAATAAAAAAATATTTATTTTTAACTGAAAGTGATGAAATCGATTTACATTTAATGATACATCCCGGAAGTGGACACTTTGCTGTACACATAAATTTTCTAAGTTCAATATTTACATAAATAAAATTTATCAATTAATTTTTAGATAACTCAAAATGAAATTGCTGTAATAGAAGGTCGTATCTCGATGTTGTTGGGAACTGATGAAATTACAAATATTAGTAAGACTGTGAACCGCTCCACGACACCTAATTTATCATCAGACGATTTTTATAAGGAGCTTCAACTTAGAGGTCAAGAATATACTGGAATATTTCGAAGTGTAATAGAGGCACGTGGTGATGGTTCAAAGGGAAAAGTGAAATGGAATGGTTTTTACTTTTCCTTTCTTGAGTCGCTAGTACAAACTGCTATGATTTGTACTGACACAAGAGATCCTATGCTAGTATCTAATATTCGTGAACTGAAACTTTTTGGAAAACAACATTTAGATGCTTTGATTACCAATGAAATTTTCTGTTTCGAAAATAGCAAAATTTACAAAAAAATTGTTTCAGGCGGTGTTGAAATTTCTGGTTTGGAAACAAAACATATCAGTAGAAAGCAAATAACTTTTGAACCAAATTTAAGTATAAATCAATTTATTCCGAATTTTCCAAGTCCATTATTGAGTATTTCTGATGCTGTTCGTTGTTGTATTCAAACAGCAACTGAAAACTTTTCCTTATCTGATGGAAAAATGAAAGTTGTTGAGTTTATAAATGAAAATCATGACGCAGAACCATTGGTGAAGTATTTTGTTGAAGAATTTGAAAATGCTGTAAAAGTTAATGGACAATGTTTCTTAATTACCGACCAGGATGTTAGTTTACCTAAAGTTCAAATTGAAGAAGGATCTATTTGCAATCATATCAACTGTTCATTCATTGTTTTGACCAATGCTTTAGATAACGTTTCCTTAGCTGATGAAGCTGCTAAATCTTTACTAGATGGTGCGTTTATGATATCACGTGAAACTTTAAGAGGAAATATAAGAACGAAAAAATTGCCTATTGGATTCAATTGTGTGGCAATATTAAATACTGCCGAAGAAATTTTAATTTTGCTAAAAAAAGTAAAGCGTGTTAAAACTTCTGGAGATACCATTGCTATAAAAGTTTCTGAATTTGATCCTTCATGGATTTCTAATGTTAAAAATATGGAAGATAAAGCGAAAATTGTGTTGTATACAGAAAATGAAAAATATACGGGTATTTTAGGAATGGTGAACTGCTTGAAAGATTTGAATGGCCATGCAAACATAGTATCTTTCGTTTTTATCGAAGATAAAAACGCTCCAAAGTTTAGTTTAAACAATGATTTTTATAGAAGACAAATCGATTTGGGATTGACAGTGAATATATTTAAAGATGTTAGTAATTTTAAAAATAATTTTTAAAACATTATATAACCAAAATTTATATGAAATTTACTTTTAGGGACAATGGGGATCTTACAAAGATCTAAATCTAAAGGACATTTCATTAAATATAAATAATTTTTATGCAGATATTGACCAACCTGGAAACCTAGAATCGTTGAAATGGTACCAAAAGAATAATTACAGGCATGAAAATATTATAGAAGTTTTGTTTGCAACAATTAATTCGCGTGACATTGCATTAGCTACAGGACGCATTCCAAAAGATATGTATGGTAAAAACCGTAAAGATCATGCAAGTTTATTTGGAGTAGAATATTCAGGGGTTGATCTTGCTTCTAAAAAACGTGTAATGGGTATTGCAAATAAAAATGCTTTATCATCATACATTGAATATTCGAATTCAAAATGTATTTGGAATATTCCTACTCATTGGACGTTAGAGGAAGCAGCCACTGTACCATATGTATATACTATGGTTTATTATGCTTACTTCCATATAATTAAAATTGAAAAAGGTTTTTCAATTTTGATACATGAAGGAGCATCAGATCTTGGTATAGCTGCTATTAGAATCGCTATTGCAAGTGGTTTAAATGTATTTACAACAGTTCGAAATGAAGAACAGAAGACATTTTTACTTAACATGTTTCAAGATTTTAAAAAAGAGCAAATAAGTAGTTGTTTAGATATTGATTTTGAAGAAATGATTCAAGATAAATTAGATTATGGAGTTAATTATGTCTTAAACACACTGTCAGGTGAAGGAATGTTAACATCTCTTCGTTGTTTATCAAAGCAAGGTCACATGCTTCAATTTGATAGATATGATATATCAGAGAATAATACTTTTGGAATGGGAGATTTTTTGAAAGAAATAACATTACATACTATTTCTATAGAAAAATTTTTGTCAGAATCTGATGAAAAAATATTGGTAACATATTTTTAATATTTATGATATTGTTTATTAAATATTATGTTAAGCATTTAGTTAATGTTTGTAATTTACTTTTTAGAAAATTCACAATTTGATTCAGGCAGATATAGATAATGGTATTGTTATTCCATTACCATTAAAATGTTTTGATGCAGCAGAATTGAAAGAAGCGTTTACTTTAGCAGCAAAGTTAGAGCATCACTGCAAAATTGTATTTAATATGAAACATCAATCAATTAACAATATTATTGGTCAAGTTTACTTTGATCCTGATCTCAGTTACATTGTTTGTGATGATCTAAAAGTATTTGGGGTAGAATTTATTGATTGGATGATTATGCGTGGTGCAAAGAATATATTGTTACATTCTAAAGAACAGAATGATTTTCAAGCTAATAAAATCGCGTAAAATTCTATTTTTATATTTCGTGAATATTTTGCATTTAAATTAGTTAATTTTTTCTAGAATATGGAAAACATACGGAGTAAATTTACTTTTAAGCTATGAAGATATCACAACAAAGAAAGGATGTTTGTCTTTACTTGAATCTAGCAAAAAACTACTAGGACCAGTAGGTGGAATATTTAATTTAAATAATTTTAATGTTGATAAGAAATTTACTTGGGAATTAGCTGAAGAACATATAAATGAGCTTATACCACAAATCAATAAAATAAAATTTTTAGATGAACTATCTTCATCATCATGTCCAAAGTTAAAGTATTTTGTAATAGTAACAAATTATTGCAATGATTCTATCGATAAATTAACGAACAGTATGTTGTGTTCAATTTATGAGCAGCTTGTAGAAAATCGTAATGCAAGAAATTTACCAGCGAAAATTTTAACTTTTGGTGCTGTAGAACATGAAAGCACAAATGTTGATGGTTGTATAACTCAACCAATTCGTTCTTGTTTAAACACTTTAGACAAACTTCTTCTTACAAACTGCAATAAAACAAGAAGTTTAATTGTAGATAAAGTAGAAAATTTTGACTTGAAAGGGAATCAATCAAATGTCTATGACGAAATTCTAAATTTAACTGGAATTTCTGATGAAATTATAATAACAAATGAAAGGAAAAATCTTTCTGACATCGGTATAAATCCTTTTATAGCAATTCAAATACAAAAATTATTGGATGAAAAACTAAATTTAAATTTATCATTTACGGAACTCAATAAAATGAACTTACAAAAAATAAAAAGTTTAACTTCAACGGAACGAAAAAGTATAGTTCATCAAACAAAATTAAAACTAAGCAACGATAGAAAAGTTAAAGGTGTGTCAGCTTTATTGGCAGATTTTAGAGAAATTCCTATAAATGCAGAAACACTAGTTGAGATACCAAATAAATCTATTGAAAAGGCAACACCGATTATTGTAATTCCTGGAATTGAAGGAATCGTATCTAGTGTTTGGTATAATGCGGTTAAAAATTGGAATTCTTATCCTATTGCCTTACAATTTAATACAATAAAAAGTGTTAAATCAATCGAAGAAATAGTTCAATCAATTTTCAAGGTATGCATTGTATCACGGAATTTATTTTGGAAAGGAATGTTCTGTTTTATACTTTTTTTTGTTAGTATTTGTATTTTTCAGTATATTGAAAGTATTATACGGGAATAATAGCATTTTAGCTACATACAAGATTTTTGTATTACAATAAAATTATAAAGTTTAAATAACACATTATTCTGATAACAATCAATTTTTTAAAATTAATATTTCATATTTCTTTTATTTTAGGACATTCGTCATGTCTTGCGGAAAACAACGAAATTTTTCTTTGTCGCATATTCTTTTGGTTCTATGTTAGCCATAGAATTAGCATCGATGCTAGAAAAACATAATTACAAAGGCAAGATTTTAATAATTGATGGAGCACCACATTTTATGAAACAGTTGCTTAAAAATACTGATAATAGTGAAATGTCGGATGCAGAAATTTTTGATCAAGTTCTTTCTATAATTTTAAGCCAATTCGATAATCAACCATTAGATAAACTGTTGACTGAATTCAGTAATATTGTAACATATAACGAGAAATTGAACAGATTTAAAGATTATATAAAATTACAAAGTAATTATGCAGAAGAATATGCGTTGAATGCAGTTCAAGATGCGTTTAATCGTATACAAATGATTAAAAAATACAAAGGATTAAATAATAAGATAAACTGTCCTATAATGCTAGTTAAACCCAAAGAAGTTTCAATCATTGATATTGAAGAGGATTATAATTTGTCAGCGATAACAACCAGCACTGTTGAAATAAAATATCTCCAAAGTAATCATTTTACTATTATGGAAAACGAAGAGCTTGGAAATTTGATTAATGACTTTAATCCAAATCGTGATGAACAACAAAATTTTCAGGAATTTTTAACTAGTGGACGAAAATTTGAAACAGATAATAACTGAATTCAAAAACCTATTCTTGTTGGTGGTTGGTTTTACTAAGTTTTAATAAAATATATTAAAATTTATATGCATAAAAATTGTGTTTTAATTAACAAAATCAATTGGACTTAATAATTTTTTTATTAGATTTTTATTATTAGATTCGTTTCTCGAAGTTCTTAAATGTAAATCTTCAAGAGATCTACGTTTTTGATAAATTTTTCATTAATGCAATTCTCAGGTTTAAAATTTTGAACCGCATTTTCGAAAAGCCTCTTTTTAATCAATGCATCATGTGATTTTTTTGATATGCACAAATAAAAAAGCAAAATGATACAAGCTTGTGCAGTAAAAAGATTTCAAAAACATTTTTATTATAATATTCATTATTATAATTTTATTCATTGACATTAATATTTTTCACACCATATATGATAATAAACCTGTGCCATATTTATGTAAAAAACCATTTATGTATATTTTTATTGAATGTGATTATTTTCATATAACGAATACTGAATGAGAAGCTCACAGAGGTCCTAATAATATGTAATGTACAATTCCATATCTTGCCCTTATAATAGAATAATAAAATATAACAAATAAAAGAACAATTATTGTAAGCCACATTTTTTTTTGAACTCTTCTATTCTATACAGCGATTATTTCGAAACTGAATTAAAAAGAAACAGTATAATATTATTTAAATTGGAATTTTCAATTAATGACTACATTTTATTATGTTAAATTAGAATATTAAATAATTTTGGTTTTAAATTTTTTTCACAACGAATTATCAGATACGGAGTTAGAAAAGGCATCGGTGTCAAATTGTACTGATGATAGAAAAATTCTATGAGAATTAAATAAAAATTTTAATAATAAAAAGTATAAAAATCGTATTAAGTAAAGCATATGCATGTACGTACATACATACATACATACATTTGTATAACATTGTAACATTTTCCTTTAGCATTCTTTTCCACAATTTAGATATTCTTGATTCGATATAAACGAAAGTAATTTTATTATAGTTTTCATTAATGCCATACATATCAGGCCACAAAGCTCTTACTCTCTGATTTCCAAAACAAACTTCCGAATTTGTATGAGAATCACATAAGTAAATACAAATGTATTTAAAGTTCAATTTTGAAAAAATCGGTTAGGAACTGAAACTATTCTGTAGCGGCATCAGCATCAGATTTTTCCTATCTTCTAAAATGGAAGGGCACTGAAATTGTTAATTGTATGAAAATCGCAAGAGGTGTTGGAAATTATTTGTGTGAAGGAAATTGACTAATATTTTTAGCTGACTCGCTACAATTCGCGATTTTAATACATCTGATTTCTTATATCTTCCAAATGGAATGGTTCTGGTACTAAATTAGAAATTAAAATTTTTGAATTAAAAGTAAAAAAAGAACCCTATGTAATAATTTCATTAATTTTTGTCTTCTAATTAGAAAAAAAAAAATTATTCTAGTAATCTAGATAGCTTTTGGTACAATGTACAAATAAAATGAGAATGCTGAAAAATTTTAGGAAAAAAAGAGAAAAAAATATTTTAATCGGAAGATGTAAAATGGTGGCTCATGATGGTGGCCTGTGTCATATGTGTTTGCCAAATTTTGGACTGGATTCTTATGTATGTATGTATGTATATCCGATTAATAATTTTTCTTATTGATAATTATGTATGTATGTATGTACTTAATTTGTAGATTAATTTAATAAGTCTAAACCATAAAAAAATTTTAATGTAAAGTTGAAATAGCATTTACAATATTTTGGTAATACAATACAAACGGATAAGAAATAGCCTTAAATTAGGTAACACTATTTGTTGTTTAACCATTTGTTGTAGAACCAAAATTCTTATACGATCAATTGATAAGATTGTCAATGATGAAGCACTTGATTGGCTAGTGTTCCCAACACATTTTTTTTTATATCATAATACATACATATTTCGTTTTATATGCTTTCTATTTTTTCCTCATTCTAAATTAAGGATTTTTTCATACATTCTCACATACATACATACATACATACATATTTATGCTTGTATTGATATTTTAAAATTTTTAGAAGCATTCAATTTGACCTATTTTTGAACTTGTTTTTCTAATTTACATAATAATTAAAGAGTTATCAAACTTTGCTTTTGAACTTTTGTAAAAAAAATGGGCACGTGAACCTTACATAAAAATACATGCATTTCTGAACTAAATTTAAAAAATTTAAATAAATTCTTGTTTAAAATTATTTCGTTAATTCTAGAATATTTTAAAATTTTAAGTACATATTTTATACATATTATGTATGTGTATTATGTATGGTGAGTTAATCTACCTATGGGCAAAATCAAAAATTTTATGTATTCGTGAACAACCTTTGTCAGAAATTAAATTTCAAATTTTGGTTAATGCACCCCGTTAGTGATAAAATTAATGATTTATTAAGAAAAAATGAGAAAATTTAATTCTTGTCTAAGTGCATGTACTGTATTTGCTATTATGCACTTCCCTATTATGCATGTATGTTGTAATGTATGTACAGTAGATCTGTAATGAATATACATTGCAAATTTTTCTCAAGTAACATGTTTTTATAATTTATTCTTATTAATTATACGTTATTAAAAAAGGTGTAGTAACTAATAAGCTGTTAGAAATCAGATGAGATGGTATACAAAATATATTGTGTTCATGAACACATTCTATGGGTAGAACTTAATTTTAGTCTTAGAACTCATGTCAAGACAAAATATCCTTGATTAAAATGTAAAAGAACTCCACTTATAGATGATAGGATATGGAATATATAATGCATTTAATACAACAAAAAACTGAAAATTCTATTAAGCAAATGGTGTAGTCAGAAAAAACTTCAAGATTTTTAAAAAATTTTACTTTAGGCGGAAATTTGATGAAAAATAATTTACATATCTTCTGAGATATGAATAACACCTGTTCACAGACAGGGTCGTCCATAGCTATTGGAACTCACCCTATACTTATAAATATTTTAATTCGATTTCATAATAAATTTTCTAAAATTGTAAAAAATACATAGAATTCCGTTGCAGAACTTAAGCTATTTTTTTTTATAACTAAATTAGATTTCTCTAGATATTTAGTAAAAGAAGTATAAGAAAAATATTTATTAATTAATTTGTGAATTTTATAGCTACATTTTAAAAAATAGTTTCGCTAAAATTTTGTTAGACCTAAATCAATTTCTATAAGATTATTTTACTTAAATACCAAACGCCGTATCTGCATTTTCTAAATAATATGTGTATTTAATGTAAAATATATAATTTAGCACTGTGGCCAAAAGTAATAATCGTATAAGTCGTGAGGAAAACGTTACAAAAAAATAAATAATAAAATAGCGATTGGAAGAACAACGGGGAACAAAATAGCTGTAATATTAGTCGCTTAAAGACTTAGTAATCGATAATTTTTGTCATTTTTTCTGTTTCCACTATTTCTGTTCATATTCAGTTTCATAATTAACACAGTTTCTTAAATGTTTGTTTCATATTGTTCATAAATTTCATAGTAATATTTATATATTTTCTCTTATTCATCGAATACCTCCAACGTAACTGTCCTATTATCCAAAAGTATACTGCTGTTTTAACTATTCAGCAACAAAATTCAATCTATAGACAGCTAGTAGCCACATATATATATTTTTTTTTGAATTTCATTATAAGATTTCCCCTAAACATATGCAAAATTTATGGTTTGATTTAAAGGAGTAGTAATATTAATGGAATCTCTTCATTAGTTAGGGTATTAAGGGCTCTAAAATTTCACAAAAAATGCAATCAAATAAAAAACAGATTGAATTTATTAAAAATTTAATTAAATGGTTGTATTTCAACTTTTCAAATAGATTCAATAATTTCTCTTGCTTGTGATTGATTTCTTTTAATCAGACAGGTACTTTGACCAGAAAACATAATACGTAAGTTTTTCAAGCACAAATATACAATACATAGGTAATATAAACTTAAATTTAATATTATTTTAATGTCCCCAGTTGTACAATTTAAAATAAATATTTCATTACAATATTTACAATATTATATACGGTATATGTAAGAAATTTACAGTAAGCATTTCACTTTCATTTAATTATAATCTCGTAATTATAATTTTTTTTATGGTATTTTTAAAGTAAAACTTCTATTTGTACTTTCAATATTATCAATATACCTACGTTATACCCAAACATTTATGCAATTGAATTAAATTTTAACAATAATTTAAATTTAATTTAAATCAAAACTATAAATAAATTATTTATTTATTGATACTTAAATGTACTATATAATTTATGCACAAATACATAAACAATAAATTGAAAATTTATAAAAGGAATTGTAGAGACTAATCACCGGGTTAATTGCGGTTTAGCTCGCAAATCGATAACGTCTCATTTTATGCCTGTTTCTTCTATTAAAATAAATTAAACGGGGTTTTCTTGAGTAAAATAAATATAAAAAAATAATCACATATATATATATATATATATATATATATATATATATTTAGATATATGAAAAATTTTATTCTTTGGTTTATATACACGTGTAAAATAAGAAGTGAATCTTTGCTAATTTTGTTTTAAAACAAGTGTTTTGTGTAAAATATTAATTTGCTTATTATCTACTATCTATATTTGGTTTATATTTTTAATATCAAGTTATCTACTAATATTACTATGTCTCCGAAACCGAATGAAAATATTTCATCGAATGAGAAAACCTTCTCTAGAATTGTAGCTGAGAATGATGGCGAAGAAATTGTAATATCAGGAATGTCCGGACGTTTTCCAAATACAAGGAATATTGCAGAATTTGAATATAATCTTTTTAATAAGGTAGGTATTTTCTAAAATATTATTATGTAATAAACTAGCTATATTTTACTATTAATGGAAATTTTAATTTTTGTTTGACTCAAATAAAATAAATATGTCAATGATAATAACTATAATTCAAAATTGTATTCAAAGACTTTAAATTTGGATTTAAACTTAAATTTAAATTTTAATGATTTAATTTTTTAATTAGAATAATGTGAACACGTAGAAACAGATTAAGTGTATTAATCCAATTTTATGAAATTTAAATAGTATGATAAAATTATTAATTAATAGTAATTCAAAATTTTAATGTAAGCTGCAGTTGGAGAGTGCTCTTAACCGATACTCAAATAATAGTAATTATTAATATTGTAATATGAATAAAAATTTGTTAACCAGATCTAGAACGAATTCTAAACTAATAATAAATTAATTAATACCAAAGAAATTAAAAATATTGAAAATTTCAAAGTCAAATTTATTCTTACCACAAATTTGTTGCAAAAATTATAATTCATACGTAATGTCGCAATGAAAATTTAAATTTTTTTCTAATTATTTTCTATATAAAAAAAATTTTTAAAGAAGTTTTCATTTTCCTTAATTCAAATTATTTTTTAAATATTTCTCCTATATAAACATTATTTTTAGCACATGATCAAGTGACTTTAAATTTATTCAATTGGTGCCTTTTTAAAACGTTTAAACTGCAAAAGCAAGTTGCTATGCTATAAAACGTTTTGAAATAAATTGTGTAAATTTGACATTATTTGCCTGTCTTATGATTTCATAAATTGTACTCGTATGAAGTCAATGAAGCTATACATTGTTTATTTTTATATTGTTTATAGTTCAGTACAAGTTCATAAAGATTATTGTTTTTTCATTCAAAATGGTTTTAATTTAAATATTTAGGAAATTCTTAAAATTAATGAATAATTAATTAAAAAGTTGGCCTCATGTGTATTGCAAGGTTAAAAAAATCACAAATTTAAGTGAAATTTATTTTGAATTTTAAAATAATTTGTATTAAAATTAAATAAAATTCATGAGTGCATTTTAGAATTATTTTTTTTTTTTTTAATTTTTTTATTGTATTTTTGTTATTAAAATAATTACACTATAATTAAAATATTTAAAATTTCATTTATTAATGAAAACAATTTCAGGTTGATATGGTTGATGATGCTGAAACAAGATGGAAACATTTTAATACAGAGATTCCGAAAAGAGCTGGAAAATTATATGATTTAGAAAAGTTTGATGCAAATTTTTTTGGAATTAATTTTAAACAAGCACACGCAATGGATCCACAAAGTCGTATACTAACTGAATGTGTATACGAAGCTATTTTAGATGCTGGTGTTAATCCTAATGATTTACGTGGTTCTAAAACTGGTGTATATATTGGTGCATGTATATCAGAATCTGAAAAAAGTTGGCTTTATGAAAGAGTTCCAAGAAATGGTATTAGTTTAACTGGATGTTCTCGTTCTATATTAGCACATAGAATTTCATATTGCTTTGGTTTAAATGGTCCATCATATATCATTGATACAGCATGTTCAAGTTCAATGTATGCCTTGGATAATGCATTTTCAGCATTAAGAAGTGGTGAAATTGATGCGGCTATTGTTGGTGGTGCAAATTTAATATTGCATCCTTATGTCACATTACAATTTGCAAGGTATTGTAACTTTCTATTTAAATTTCATATATGTATATTAATTTTCTTAGTACTAATTTTATTTTTTTTTTTTAGGCTTGGAGTACTTTCAAAAGATGGATATTGTAGGCCATTTGATAAAGATGCAAGTGGTTATACAAGATCTGAAGCTATAAATTGTTGCTTTCTTCAAAGAAAAAAAAATGCTAAAAGAATATATGCAACATTGATTTATTCAAAAACTAACTGTGATGGCCATAAGGTAGAGGGTATTACTTATCCATCTGGACAAATACAAGAAATTTTATTGAAAGACTTTTATAAAGATTGCCAAATTAGCCCAGCTAAATTAGGATACTTAGAAGCTCATAGTACAGGAACTTTTGTGGGAGATCCTGAAGAATGTAAGGCTATAGATAGTGTCATTTGTAGTCAACGTACGGAGCCTTTACTAGTTGGTTCAGTTAAGTCAAATATTGGACATTCCGAAGCATCTTCGGGGCTCTGTTCTGTTATTAAAGTGTTACTTTCTTGTGAAAAAGGTATGGTACCGCCAAATATTAATTATACCAAATATAGGCCTGGCATAACACCTTTAGAAGAAGGCCGTTTAATTGTTGTGGATAAACCAAGAAAATTTTATAGTCCTTACATAGGAGTTAATTCTTTTGGTTTTGGTGGTGCAAATGCTCATGCGCTTTTTAAAAGTAATGAAAAAGAAAAGATTAATAATGGAATCCCTGACGATAACATACCACGACTTGTCGTGTGGGCTGGACGAACAGAAGAAGCAGTTCATGAGATTTTTAATGCAATTGAAGGAAATTATTTGGACCAAGAGTTTATAGCACTTATTAATGATATACACAAAAAACCTATAGATCGTTTGGTATACCGCGGTTACGGTGTGTTTGCTAAAAATCAAAAAGGCATTGCAGAATGTTTATCAAAAGAGATTGTCTACAGTCCAGGTCTTAAACGACCTGTTGTATTCCTTTTTAGTGGATTGTCATCAGAATGGAATAGTATGGGCGCTGCTCTCCTGGAGATTTCCACATTCAAAGAAACTGTTGAAAAATCCAATATGATTTTGAAGCCACTTGGTGTTGATATATTTAAAATATTGACCTCATCAGATTCAAAAATATTTGACAACACAGTAAATGTTTGTGTTGGAATTGCAACAGTACAAATTGGTTTAGTTAATATACTCAAGGTTCTTGATCTTGAACCTGATTATTATGTTGGACACTCAATCGGGGAATTGGCATGTGGTTATGCTGATGGTGGTATTACAATGGAACAGGCAATTTTGGCTGCATACTACCGCGGAAAAGTTTGCGAAGAAATTGAAAAAGCCAATTTTAAAATGGTTTCTATACCACTGGGCTATAAAAAAATTACAAAATTTTTACCAGAAAACTTGGATGTTGCGTGTCATAATAGCCTAAATTCAAGTTTTGTTTGTGGACCAACAGAAGATGTCGATAAATTTGTTCAAATACTCAAGGAAAACGAAGTTAAAGAAATTAAAAACCTTCGAATAAATGTGCCATATCATACTCGTTATGTCAAACATCTGGGTCAAGCTCTATTAACTTGCATGAAAAAAGTAATCCCACAATCTGTTCAGAGATCACCTAAATGGTTGAGTTCCAGTGTGCCAAGAGACTCATGGCATGAAGTTGAGAATCAATTTTGCTCTGCTGAATATTTTGTCAATAACTTTTTGAACAATGTATTCTTTGAGGAACTCATTTCAATGCTACCATCAAATTCAATATTAATTGAAGTTTCACCGAGAGGTCTTTTACAACATATTTTACAAGATTCTGTTCCTAATGCTAAGTATATTGAATTATATCAAAAATGTGAGTCTTTTAGTTTAAAGCCATTTTTGGAATCGCTAGGAAAGTAAGTTCAGAAGCCAAAAAAAAAAAATTTTAATTTACCTATTTTCTCCCTTCAAAATTGGTTAAAGTTCCTAGTAAACAATTTTTTCTTTAAAGTGATGAAATTACAAAATTAAAAACATATTGCAGGTTATTCTTAAATAAAACTTCAATGTCGTTAAACACAATATATCCAAAAGTTGAGTGGCCTGTTTCAAGGGGTACATCCAGATTGTGCTCGTTAATTAAATGGGATCACAAAGATGATTGGTTTGTTACAAAATTTGAAAACATTAAAGTCGAACAAACTGGAGAGCATACATTCAACATAAACTTAAAAGATGATGATAATGAATATTTGAGTGGTCACATGATTGATGGTAGAATTTTAGTCCCAGCAACAGCTTATTTACAATATGTTTGGGAATCATTTTCTTCAATGTATCGCGGTCCAGTTTATATGGATATGGCAGTTGAGTTTCAAGACGTAAAATTTTTAAGAGCAACTCATTTAAGCAAAGATACAAAAGTGAACTTAACAGTGCTGATTGATTATGAAAGTGGACAATTTGAGGTTAATAATTAAAATCGCTTAATTAAAAACCAACGAATTTTTAATTTTTATAGGTTTCTGACACGGGAACAACTGTAGTAACTGGAATAATTCGCGAAATTTTAGATCCTAAACCTCCCAAACCGCTGCCAAAACCTAAAGAGTCTTTATTCCCCACAGTATCTTCAAAAGATTTTTATAAAGAATTGCGTCTTCGAGGCTATCATTACAATGGTGGTTTTAGATCTGTTGAAGAAGCTAGGGGGGATGGTTTGGCTGGAAAAGTAAGATGGAATTTCAATTGGGTGACTTTTATGGATTGTTTATTACAAATTCATATTTTGGGCACTGATGCACGTTCTTTAGTTTTGCCAACCAAAATTCACAAACTACGCATTTTTGGTAGACACCATATTCAACTTGTAAATGAAATGGACCCAGAAAATCAAATTTTTGATGTTACTATGAGTAGAAAGTTCCAACGACTTGTGGCTGGTGGAATTGAAATTATAGGCCTCCACGCAAGTCCAGTCGCTCGTCGCAAATCTCCAGGGATTCCAGTTCTAGAAAAATACCAGTTTTTACCACATTTTCCATCACCTAAGTTAGACGTGGCAGATGCAGTAAGAATATGTGTTCAACTTTCTTTAGAAAATATTCCAAGCTTTAAAATGCAAATAGTTGAGCTTGATAATTCCAATAGTAGTGATTATGAACCCATAATTTCCCATTTTTTAAATGCCATAGAAGATTTGCCGTTAATTTCAGGGGATTATACTTTGCTAACAAATAAGGATATCACAATAGAAGGGATTAAAATCGAGAAAGGAAATCTACCAGAACGGAATGATTGTACTTTTGTTGTCGCTACCAATTTACTAGAGAGCAAAGAACGGTTAGCAGAAGCGGCAAATATTTTAGGTGAACGATCATATCTCGTTTCCAGAGAGGTAATTAGTTTTGATATCAGCGCAATTCAAGTGCCAAACGATTTTGAATTGATTGGTATTTTTCAAACACAAACTGATAGTCTGGTTTTATTACAAAGTTTGAGCAAGAAACTAAGTGCAACTCCAACAATATTACAAATTTCTAATACTGATAAAAAATTTTCTTGGATAAGTGAAGTGCAGTCTGCAATATCTAAAGGTCCAGTAATTTTGTATTGTCAAAATGAAAAGTTTAATGGCCTTTTAGGCATGGTTAATTGTTTACGCAAAGAGCCTGAATGTAATTCAATAACGTGTGTTATAATTGATGATCCTAATGCACCCCCATTCAATATCGATAATTCATTTTACCAAAGGCAACTCAAGAAAGGAATGGCTATCAATATATATAAATATGTAACTAAACTCTAAATCATTGTTCATAGATTTGTTTCAACGTTCTTTAATTGCAGGGACAATGGGGAACCTATCGTCATTTGCAACTAAAACTGCATATTGTGCCAAAACCATCAAAAGACCACATTTACACTAATGTATTGAACCGTGGTGATTTATCATCGTTGAATTGGTTCCAGGGACCGTATTTAGAAAAAAACAAGGTAATCGATATTCAGTATGCATCCCTAAATTTTCGCGATGTTATGTTAGCGAGCGGGCGTTTAGCTGCGGAAATTTATGGAGAGAGCCGCTTAGAGCAACAGTGTCTTTTAGGATTTGAATTTTGTGGCACTGACGTACTAACTAAAAAACGAATAATGGGTATGACCGATAAAGCGGCTTGTGCTTCATTTTTAACTTACAAGCCCCGTATAATGTGGGAGATTCCTGGTAGTTGGTCATGGGCAGAGGCTGCAACTGTACCATGCGTTTATTCAACAATATATTATGCTTTCTTTTTTTCAACACAAATTGAAAAAGGGAAATCAATTCTGATTCATGCTGGTACTGGTGGTATTGGTCTGGCTGCCATAAGAACTGCTTTCGCTTATGGATTGGACGTATTTACAACTGTCAGCACACCACAGAAGAAGCAATTCTTGCTTGATACATACCCCCAGCTGCAAGGTAGTTTCTTAAATAAAAAACTACTCTAAATTCGAATTTACTTCGTTTATTCCAATTTTCAACCCCCCTTTTTTTGATTTAGAGAGTCATATTGGCAATTCCCGTGACACTTCCTTCGAACTAATGGTATTAAAAGAAACTGGAGGAAAAGGTGTAGACTATGTCTTGAACTCTCTGTCTGAAGATAAATTACTTGCATCAGTTAGGTGCTTGGCAAAAGGTGGACACTTCTTAGAGATAGGAAAATTTGATATGGTTAGTGATTTAAAAATTGGTTTGGGAGATTTTTCAAGAGAATTAACTTTCCATTCGGTTCTTGCCGATAATTTGTTAACAGCTGAACCTGACAAAATATTGGTAAGTAAATTTTTACATTTCAAATTACAAAACTATAAATTTGAAATTAAATTTACTTTATCAGAAAATAAAAGCAATGGTTGATCGAGATTTGGCAAATGGAATCATTCAACCATTACCAAGGCATATTTTTAAGGCTAATGAAATAGAATCAGCATTTAGATTTTTAGCCTCGGCCAAACATATGGGGAAAGTTTTAATCCAAATTAGAGATGAATTATCTCTTGATACTACAATGAGCGTTAAGGTTGTTCCACAAATCTATTTTAATCCAAATTTGGTTTATATTATACCAGGTGGTCTAGGGGGTTTCGGCCTTGAATTGGCTGACTGGTTAGCTATTCGTGGAGCAAAAAAAATTGTGCTTAGTTCAAGTCGAGGAATATCGAAAACATATCAGAGTTATAGAATAGCGTATGAAATTATTTTTGTGTTGAACTATTCACCTTTGAACATAACTTTTTTTTAGGTTGTGGAGTACATATAATGTCGAAACTGTAATCAGAACTGATGATATTTCCACCAGAGAAGGTTGTGAAAATCTGATCATAGCCGCAATGAAATTAGGAAAAATTGGAGGTGTTTTTAATTTAGCTGTACGCTTAAAGGATTCAATTTTCCAAAATCAAACTTCTGAAAATTTCATTGAAAGCATGGCACCGAAAGGTTTGGCAACGTTGTATTTAGACGAAATAACGCGCAAGATGTGTCCTGATTTGGAGCACTTTGTTGTTTTCTCAAGTGTGTCATGCGGACGTGGAAATGCTGGTCAGACGAATTATGGGATGGCTAATTCGGTCATGGAAAGAATTATTGAGGATCGTGTTGCTAATGGGTTTGCTGGAAAAGCAATACAGTGGGGTGCTGTTGGTGAAGTTGGTTTGGTGGCTGATATGGCAGAAAATAAAATCGATATGGAAATTGGAGGAACATTACAACAACGTATCTCATCGTGTCTTCAAGAATTGGACACCCTCCTGTCAACACCGGATGCTTTAGTAGCTAGTATGGTTGTGGCTGAAAAGCGTATTGGACGAAGTGGTACTGAGAGTATAATGGAAACAGTGTTAAGTATAATGGGGATTCGAGATTTAAAGTCAGTTTCCATGAGTTCAAGTCTTGCTGAAATGGGAATGGATTCATTAATGGCTGTTGAAATTAAGCAAACATTGGAAAGAGATTTCGAATTAATATTAACTCCACAAGATTTAAGAGGTCTAACATTCCAAAAATTACAAGAATATTCAGATTCTAGAAATAAGGAAGGTGCTGACAATATTAAATTAAATGTTTCGGTCAATGACCAACAGCTGGGTATGAATCTGTTGGTTCGAAATGTAGGAGATACCGAGACTTGTATGGAAACTCTTATTGATATGAGCACATTAGTTAAAGCAGAGAACCTTAATAAAAATCCTATAATTATCATACCAGGTTTTGAGAGTGTTTGCGGTAATGCTTGGAAGGAATTAAGCAAAAACTTGTTTTCAAGAGCAAAAGTTTTACAAACTTTCAAAATGTCAAATAGTAAATCAGCAGATGAAATTGTTGATACTGTATTTGAGGTAAATAAAAGTTTCTCTTTCAATAATAATTTTTTAATATCAATTTATAATTTCAAACTTTAGGAAGTTAAAATGTCATTAAATAAGTCCAAAGATTTTTATATTGTTGGATATTCGTTTGGTGCTGTATTAGCTATGGAAATTGCTGCAAGACTAGAAAAATTAGGATATACAGGACAAATTTTGATTTTAGATGGATCCCCAATACAATTGAAAAAACTTCTTATTGGTTTTATGGGTGAAAATCATACCGATAATGACATTACAGATCTAGTTCTTACATTAGTTGTAAATCAAGCGTTTCCAGAAGAGAGACAAGATAAAATTGGACTTACATTTTTACATGAAAAAACTTACCAAGATAAAATTAAGAAATTTTCAGAATATCTTCAAAAACAAAATAAATTTACATTAGAATATAGTTTGCAATTGATTAGCACACTAATAAATCGTACAACATTAATTTCATGTGGTATTGAAATGAAACATGTAAAATCGCCTATTACATTAGTACGGCCAACTTCAGCTTCAGTTACAGATATTGTAGAAGATTATGAATATTCAAAATATACATCTGGTAAAGTAATTGTAAAATTTGTTGAAGGTAATCATACAAGTATGTTGGATAATAAAATTGTGACTGATATTATCAATGAATATGATCCAAATCTACATTAGAATTTTGAAAAATATTTGCTTGAAAATTTAAAGAAGAAAATTATTATAGTCATTTTATAATTTATATAAGATATAAAATTTAAAATTAAATCAAAAAAAAAATTCAAATAGTTATATGCTCTAGATTGAAGCAATTTCTTTTCAATATTGAAACGGGTATTAGGCGATCGTCATTATAATATAAAATGTAATTTTAATATAGGTAAATAAATAAATAAGTTAATATAAAAAGAACTTGTATTTTGCAATTATTTCATTATTTATGCTTTTAGTCAACAGAAATGGTTGATTAGGTTTCTGGGTCAGAAGTCGTTCTGTTCAACAATAGTGGTTCCTTTTATAATTTCTTTATTTAATCGTACTATTTAAACAACTTCTTTAATAATAAATTAGTTCATAACAATCAATTAAAAATTAAGCTCGTATATAGTATATTTTTTTTTTATTAAATTTCTAATTATACAAATAAGCAATTCATATAGTTGTAAAATTTTTCATTTTTAGATTTTGAACCTTATCACAATTTATATACATATAATTATATAAAAAATTAATTATGGTTCTTATAGTTAACAATAATAATATTGGCTAAATACAAAATAGGTATATTTTTATTAGCTCTAAATACGAATTCGAAAGCTATAGTATATGCCTAATTGGCTTAATTTAATTAGGCTTACTTTTTATTTCGAACTCAGTTTATAATGTAAGTTTTTTAATTCATCTGCAATATTTTCTACTTTAAATTTATAAATGAAAAATTGAAAAGTTTCTATTAAGATTTTTCTATATTACAATTATACATTAAAAAGAGTTTTTAGCAAATTTAATAAAATAAATAAAAATCGAAGTCAAAAGAGTGAATACTTTCTTGCAAATAATGTTTTATAAATGAAATCGGGTTGCAAAAACATGACTTCGTTGTAAACGGAAAATTTAATAATTAATCGCGAACATCTAAGCAAATTAAATTCATTTAATATTTTCATAAATAGTGTAGTATCAAATCAGAAATTATAAATAAAAGTAGACGCAATATTATTGTAATTTATTAAGAATTTCATGTAGTTGCTCTAATGTCAATCAATTCTTTCATATTTTACACACAATGTATGTAATTCTAATAGGCTATAATAAAATAATTCTAACATAAAAGCATTCTTAAATATCGTATCTTTCGAAATGTTTTAAAGAAGAATAATTACACTGGACACTGGGTCCTTATACTATGTAATTCGATTTGCGTATATGCGCAGAAATTGAAAGGCAATACCATACAAATTGATTTGTGCTACCTTACAATTTTTCCGAATACCAAAATCATTTCACGAAAATCGGATTACACTGTAAGTTCACGGGGAAGATTTTGCTATATGGTATTATCAATATTCTATGATATTATAATTTAAAGAATTAATATTCCCGCATTACAACGAAGTCATAAATTTCTTATATTAAATAAAATAATATTTTTCAGTCATTCTTATTATTCCCTAATTTTACAAATTTGAGTATTAAAGAACTAATAAGTGATTGAATAAAATTTTAGATTGAAGAATTTCACTTATAGTTAAAGAGGTTAAAGTCTTTGTTTCTGAGGGCATACCTAAATATTACAGGGAAATATTTTACTTATAATAAAAATCTTATTGAATACAAATTACAATGAAAATAATTATGATTGATGTTTGTGAAGAGACAGTGGAATGAGCTTCTTAATCGTAATTAAATAAATTTCATATAAAATAAAATATTAATTAAAATAACTATTATTGTAATAGTAATAATAATAATAATAAGAAATTAAAAATAGTAGCATTATGATGAACAGAATTGTAAAAACAAAAAAAAAATTACTTAAAATAAAATTATTTAAAATTTTATTAATTCAATAAAAATTAATAAAATTAATTTTTGTTGCATTTTTAAGCGACACTTGATTGTTCCGGTGTAAAACTTTTAAATTGTGATGGTCTTTTGTTTCTTGGTGGTGGTACAGGCGGATTAATAATTATTGGAGCGAAAAAATGTGATTTTGTTTTCTCACAATTATTCTTATATTCTTCATTATTTTCTGAATTTTCATTAACATCTTTTCTACGTTGCCAGCGTAAAAGTTCTTTAACTCTTTTGCCATGATAGTAATACAAATAAATGGTAGCCAATATACAAATAACAATAAGCAGTGTAAGTAAAATAATAATTGGAGCAATATATGGTATTGTTTCTGGTAATTCTTCGCTTGTGGTAGTATCTTTGGTTGTTTCTTCTTCTGTTGGTGTCTTTTCTGTTGTTTTTGTTGAAGTTTTTGTTGTAGGTATTTTAACACCAGGCCGTATAATTGGACGTATTGTAGCACGACCAGTTTCACCAATTGATATATCAGCACAAGCTCGAAATTCTTCTTGCGGTCCGCAACCAACTTGACCGACACCATCATCACACATACCCCAGTTATTGCCAGCAACATATCGCCATTGCATTACGCAATGATTACATTTCATGTCTAAAAAGAATTTTTTTAAAGCATTTAACATTTAAGAAATTAAAAAATTTTCGTTTTACCATTTGGCAATTTAGCTTTGATTTCATAAATTCGGCTACCATTTCTTGGATAAAATCTGGTGTCTAGGTCATCCGGCATTGGTGTTAATGGTACTCCAGTTATTATTTTTAATAAATTCTTGTCTAAACAGTCTTGTTTTGCTTTAATTTCAGGACATAATCTAAATTCGAAATAACTAAAAATAAACCATAAAATGTTAAACATAAATTTTTTTGTTACTTATAAGAAAATATACACACCCCATATGACTTGCAGTTAATTCAACTCTAATAGTTATTTCACTACCAGGATTATATTTTCTAACAACAACACCTTGTCCCCATTTACCACCAAATTCATGTGGTCTAGGTTTGGGTAAATCCCAGGCATCACCACATTCACCACATTTTCCACCATTTTTGCTCCATTGCCTTTGGTATCCGCCACAGTACAATTCATGATCATTATAATTTGGTGGAGTTTGAAAACCATAACGCCATGCACTTGCTCTACTTGGTGGCTCAATCAGCCTTCCATGACCATTACAACTATTTGGTAATAATGTTAAACAAATTATATAAAATATTGTAGCAATAAAATTAGCTAGATGTATTGAAGTCTTTGAATAATTAAGATTCATTTTTAAAATTTGTAAATTTATATTTTTAGAACACCTTCTTCTATATTTTAGAGTTTGATGCCAAACTTTAATTTTAACACATCGGGGAAATGAGATTTATTGTAATGATGAACAATGTATTAAATCTGAAAATAAGAAAAAATTAGTTTTGATATAGAAATTGAAAAAAATTTTTTATATAAAAATTTTAAATCCGATGTAAGAATCGAAATTTTAACCGCGAAAATAAAAGAAATTTAAGTTAAAAGATCTTTTGGAGAAATAGAGATGGGAATTACGCCTGAAATTACGAATTGTTACAAAAATTTCTTTTATCTTGTAAGAATATCTGTAATTCCCAACATTGTCAAATTAAGTGCGAGATAAGAACATAATTAATTTCAAAAATCATCAGTTATGACAAATGGAGGAACTTCAATTCAATTTTTTACAACTCATTCAATAATTTACATGTCGTCTGGCATTTACTTAAAAGTAAACTAATTAATTAGAAAAGTTGACGTTAGATCTGCATTTTTATAGTGACTCAATATTTTGTAATAACAATTTTTGACTGAATAATTATTCAATTAACAAATTTTGAACAATATTCAAATAAAATAACAAAATAATTTTATTAAAAATTCCATTCAATTTTGTAATTCAATAAACTTTAAATTCGGGAAGAAATTCTTACTACTATAGTAGACTAACTTGTGTTGATCTACTATAAATTATTAATTGATTAAACCGTTTAGCCATAAATTACGGAAAATTTCCAAAAGTATAGCAATTATAAAGATTCATGCAGCATTTTTACTAAGGGCTTAATCCTTACATATAGATAATATGTATTCTGATGGAAAAAAATATGTTTATTATGTGTAATACGCGTGATTGTTGGGGATAAGAAACATTAAACTACAAAATAAACCTACTACAAATAAAAGAGAAACAAAACGATCTACTCCAAAATAAAAGAAAATCTCAGTTCTCAATTCATTTTCTGCGCTCTGAGAATGCATAAATATTTTTTTTTTAAAGTTCATACAACAATAGGGCAATTGAAATTTATTTCATACTCGTAGTAATCATCGTCATCAAAAAGGAAAAATGAATATTTTGTTTAACTACTACAAATAAGTTATTTTGCATATATTTTTCTGTAATATACCGGACAACTAAGTATTCAATTAAAAAAGAAACATTTACTTCTTAAATATTAATAAAGTGGGGTCAAACCTATGGTTTGCAAAGAAGCACTTTTATCTTGAACAAGTGAAAATACTGCTCTTAAAAAATAATCTACATACTAATTAATTAAATTTAAATACTTTCATTTATGTAACAAAAAAAAAAAATTAAACTTTTGCATACTTTTAGGATAAAAAAAAAATAAGAATCCAAATAATCGTTATCATCATGATTGAATTGAACGTTTAATTAAGCCAGCTAAGAAAATAAAGCAGGACATTTTGATTTTACGATATTTACTTCAAGCTTTTTGCTTTTATAGAAATTTAGAAAAGCTTGTATTTTCGGAAATTTAAGGTGCCGCAAATTCAAATTTTATGAATATGGAGAAGCAATAAGATAACTAAGAGAATTTACTTTTCTAACGAAATAAATTACATCATATTGCTAGTGTCTACAAACTGTTAAAATTTCAGACTCCCACAACTTGTCGTTTAGAAGAAAAATAAAAAATTATCAACATTCAATTTTAATGGTCATATTTTCTTAATAATATGAAAATTGTGCTGTGACGCAGTATAGAAGAAGCTTGTCGCTATAGCTTTCAGGGTTTTGCGAAATTTAAAAAATATTTGTTTCGCTACAATAAAATATTTTGGATTTTAAGAGACTACAACTTCTTAGAGCGAATAAGATAGGTAAATATAGATTCTATCACAAAGGCTTTAGAAAATTTGTAAACAAAAACACAGACAGACGAACATTGGACGAATTAATAAACATTTTTTTAACCATTTTTTTTTTTTTTTTTGGAAATTTGTTAAAAATTTATTACCATTATTTTTGTTACTAAAATTTTAATTATTTTATAACTATTATTTTTTGATACTTTAATATAAAAATCCCAAAGAATTATTTATTAATTTGAACCGTTAGTATGAAAAACAATCACAAATTACGTTAAAATTTTTATTTTTCTGTCTGTCAGCTATGCCAAAGACATTATCAACTTTTTTTTTATGTTTTCTTTTTGAATTGTTGGAAAAAGCAAACCAAATCCACAAAAAAAACTTCTTCTTTACAAAAAAAAACCAGACTTGATATTATTTTAATTATTGTCATAATGTAAAACACAATGTGAAATTGTTAAGATGCGTGAAAAAGTGAAACCTTTTAAGATGAAAAAAAAAATTTTTTTTTTACAAATTAATTATTTTTTTTGAAAAATTTTAGGAAAACAAACAGTGATGTTATTTATAAATGTAAAAAATATTAAATTTAAAACAAATTACACAATAATAAATAATGTATGTATGTATGTATATGTTATATAAGTATGAATGTGTAAATTATAATGTTGTTATTAATAAATAGTTATACAGAAAATGATAATAATTTTTCTTTAATTTCAAATAATTTTGTTGTACACAATTAAACAAAGATCATGTGAATTTTTACTAAACCGAAATTTTAACCAACTTCTTGGAAGTGATAATTTCTTCACTATCAAACAAGACAAATAAAAAAATTATTATACATACATTACATATGCATATATTTCTCAGGGTTTTGAATAAAAAATTGTGGTGACAAGTAAATATATTCATTTACTTATGTACATTGATGTGCTTAAAAAAGAAAAGGGTATTGTTAATTTGGTTATTATAAATTTAAATTCACAATATTAATAGGTTAATTTCACTTTGAATATACAACTGTGACAAGCGTGTAGAAGCTGTACAATAATAAAAGCTATTACAATGTATGAAACTATACTATTAATTTGCAAAATTTTATTTTCCTAAATAATGTAAATAATTTGTTATATGTACTTACATACATATATAATTGTTTATAGATGAATCTTGTGAATTAGAAAATTAACAAGTAAAAACGTTTCAGTCTAAACGCTATAAACCGATTGTATAATACCCTGCCCTTTGACAATCTGAATTTAAAAATTTGTTTTTGATATATTTAGAAAAAAGTTTGATTGTTAAATGGCAATTACTTGAACTTGTCAAAACACTAATAAGAAACTTCATGGATATTAAGTGAACACACGATTGTCGAGTATAATGAATCTAGCCTTAATATTTTTCCAAATATTTAAAATTAACTTTCGAAATTGTATGACAGTTACTCAGACCAGTGCAGCCATTTCATTAAAATTTTCTGAACATATGTGAAGTATAATTGGACACGTCTTTATACAAAATTTGATCTCTTTGAGTTGTATGGTAGCTACCCGAAACCGTTGTCTGAATTGATGCTATTATAATAGCAGCCGTCGTTGGCACAAAAGAAAAAACTTGTGAAAGTTTGGTTTCATTAAGCATTATTCGTTTTTAAGTTATCGTGCGATCGGATGAACGGATATGTCTATATCGACGCAGAATTTTACGCTGAGCAAGATTATATATATACTCGTATGTGCATACCGGAGACGATTCCTTCAAGTGGTTACAAACTCCATACTAAAGTGAATATAGCCTTCACGAAGTGCAGGGTATAAAAACAGAAATAGTTATAAGGGCTTCCCATAATTTTTAATACAAAATTTGCAATATTTGTTTTTCTGTTATACGATATTATTTTATTTGATATTCAATGCAACCTTAAATGAAAGAGAAATTTTTTGTTTTTTCTATATACGAATATAACAAATTTACATAATTACTTTTTATGTGGGCTTTAGAAATTGGAGTGAAATTTTTATTATTTTTGCAAAAATATCAACCACTATAAACTAAGCTATATTTGGTTTTACATCTCATATACCTACATATAAATAAATGTGTTATACTATCAATAAAAAATATTATCGTCATAAAAACATTTTTAATGGAAAAAAAGTGAAAATTCAATAATAAAATAAAATTATGTAAAAAAATTAATTTAAAAATTTTGCCCTTTTGATAGACTTGGTGATTAATAAAGTGTGTGTTCGCTTTCGTTTTAAGATTTTTAAACTTTTACCATTTATAGAAAATTTAATTCAATAATCTGAATATAAAAGAATAAATGCATAAATCTTTAGATTTGTAACAATATTTGGTCGCACTTGGAAGCATAGAGCTTCTATATGACTTCTTCATCTTGTTCTATTCTTGGCTATTTGCTTAACTAAAGCCCATATGACAAACCCGATTTGTTTGATACAGATATAGTCAATTGTTTCCGAGACGTCCGAATCTGCTTAAACCTGGTTTGCGAATTTCACTTTAAATTCATTTTGGTTATGTTATTTACGGGTTTTCGTAAAGTGTCCAAAATGGATTTCCTTTTGATTTGCTTGTCGTTACATTAGATTTTCGGCTAGAATATTCGGTATATCATTCTTAGGCATTTGGCATATTATTTATTGATGAAAACTTGCAGTTTCTGGTAAGTTGATTTTGATGTAAGCTAATTTTAAACATTTCTAAAATATTCTTAGTTTGGTTACTCTTGATATTTCTGGCTATATTCTTTCATATCGGTTACACCCTACCAAATGCTGTTTTAGTTTTCTTATGCCTATTTTCCATATCTAATTCAGTCCCGCCTTCAGCTGTTATTATACTACTTAAGGAACAGAAATTTATTTTCTGACAATTGAGTTTTAGGCTGGCTAGGCGGATGTTGTTTATTTTGAACAGAGTAAAAACTTCCTTATTGCATATATATATATATGCAAATATCTCTAATTAAAAGAAGTATTCCCAAATTAATGAAATTTTGCTGATATTGAAAATTTGAAAGCGTTCAAAAAATGTTTATCTACATTTATGTTACTTTGCGATATTAAAGATGAAAGTTGCTATATATACTTCCCTTTAGTTGCT